TAATAATTCGTCTATTTATTGCATATTCATTATATGCCGTCTGTAAAGGTAATGTGACGTGTTCTCTTAAATAAAAAATATCTTAACATTTTTGTGTAAAATAATAAATTTATTGAACGATACTTTTATGAATTGCATACATTTATATAAGAATATCCTTAAAAATACTACCTAGGAAAAGAATAAATAAAAGATCAGGCGAAAAGATGATCGATTATGAATTTTGCTACAACATTGTTAAAACATCGAACTATAGTTATTTCATCATAGCAACTGTACTATCAATTATTTTTGAACTAAATTAAGCTCTTTTTGTTTATAAACATTCTTCTAACACTGGTCAATTGGTTATAACGTGCTCTTGCGCTGTTAAAACGTGATTCTTAGTAAAAAGAACAGCTGCGATTCCAAGACTTTTTCTCGTGCCCGCGGCCACAATACCCTAAATTACCTGTCATGAACGCTAATTTACAAAAATAGTAATGTTTAAAATAATGAAATATTTTCAAAGCTAATGAACTTACAGTTATTATGTAATACTACGTGTTTTCTTTTGTTAATTATTTTTAAGTATTTTTAAGTATTTTTTCATTGACTTTGGAGATTTCATAGAATTTGTCAATAATTTATTAAGTGAAAAAATATGCCAATATACAATATTTCGAAAATCGATGACTTCACAAGATTGAGAAGACAATAATAAAGTTGATATAATATTAATTGTTATAATATTAATAGGCTTAATATAAAAATAGTATGTTAAAATGGTCAATCTAGAAGTTTTCTCATTTTAGCTACTGGAAAACTGAAATTGTAAAATGATTCCGATGTCTCATGAACTTATTAATAATTGTTATTGCTATTTCAAGAAATACGTTTATTTCAAACGTTGCAAAGGTTGTGAATGAATATGTAAAAAAAGTTTATATTTATAATTTTAATTGTTTACTGATTAAATTCTGTCATAAATATATTTTGAAAATGTTTGGATGTCATTGGATAATTACTTTAGACAGTATTATTATTAGTTAATCCATGAAAAAATCTTTTGATAATATGAATAATATAGATAGTAAAAATCGAATGGATGTATTAATTATACGTGATGAAAAAATTATTTGTTTTTTAATAATAAAAACTTCTTGCAAATATCTATCTGTAATGAATTTCATCGATATAAATTTCAATGACTGTTTACGTGTTTAGTTTTCTTTAATCTTTAAACAAGAAATTGCTCATGTTTGTATTGTAGCAACTGATTGAATAACATGAAAAATGAATTTTGATACCGTCATAAATTATTCCTATCAGTGCTGCGATAACACTATGATACCTTTTACAAGATAAGACGTTTTATAAGGGTAACAATTGCACAAGCGAACCAGCTTGTTAAACAAAGTCGACACGTACCATTAAACGCTTGCTTGAAGAAAGTCAATAAATTCGTATAATTCACTTGTCTAAGCGCTGTCATAGAGTGATTAATTTAACTGCTCTACTATCTGCCGCATCATGTTATATTTCAATTGACTACAAAATCTGATGACGCGGTACTAATAAATTGCGAGCGATAATCGATACTTTGTAACAACTAAGGTACTTCTTTCCTTTATTTGAGTATTTAATTATTTCAATTGTTAATATGATTTCCTTTCAGACTAGCTAAAATACAAATCCAGTGAATCCTAAAGTGAATCACTCAAAGAAGTGAAAAAAACCATAGCATATCCTTGAAATTCATATCTAAAGTTTGATCTCAAGGTATAAACAAGATTCGATAGTAGACTAAAATCAAACAATCGCGTGGACGAGTATATTCAAAAAACATTTCCGGATCAGTGTGTGTTGTTTGAGCACATATCGACTGTGACCTTCTATGTACTGTCAATTCTCGCTCGCGCACAATATATTTAAAGTACATGATAAGAAGCTCAATGCAGGATATACATTCCCCTCCTTCGCGTGTAGTAAAGGTGCTCCTGATTGGACCTGCACCTATACAAATGAGAGTGTAGAGAGCGTTCGCCAGTCAAGGCTGCTCTGCTCTACAAATCCGGCATCTTTTATTTTATCTCCGTCTCTCTCTCACCCTTTTTTCCTTTCCGCTCTGCACGCGCACTCAGCGAGTATACATGCAATTGCCTCTCGAGTCGTGATTATTGCGCCCTTTTCTTTCATCGGGATTTCAATCGAGATAACGCGCATCTGTTGATCTGACTGTTGTAACAAAATAGCAACAAGGTTGACAACAACATAAAGAAATTGTATTTGAGTTTAATGTGATAAGTTGTACATCTTTGACCATCCCACAAATTTTCAGTTGGATATTAGCATTTACAGTGATGCATTTTCTTGTAATAAAAATGGCACTTACAATTAGATTTTTAATTAATATTATAAATGTAGAATAATAGATATTTTAAAAGTGAATCAATTAAAAATTCAATGGAGCAAATATTGCGCGATAAGCATTGGATGGAAATGAAAACTAACATTTTGAAATTGCGAAAGAATTTTCATGAAATAATTCATAAAAATTTATTATGTGAGAATTTGCTAAAAATGGTTTCAATCATTTTTGTTCCCATTCTACGGCTCATTATGCATAATCATTCTTTATTTATTTCAGCTCGAATTTACCGACGAAGTGTACTGGTTTACCTTGCACTCGAATGTCCAAACACTTGCTACACGACACACAAGGGGAAGACTGTTGGAAAAATATCGACCATGTGGTTGAATGAACTTGCCACATTCCACAGAACAGAAGAAATGAAATAAATACTGCTTGTTCATTTATTTTTCTAGAAATATTTATAGATTTCTTGAAACGAATTATCGACAGTTTTACGGAAGAACCTTAAGCAAAATGTCAACTATTACCATAAAAGAAACAGAAATACTGTAAAGTCAAATAAACGTTCAATCTCATTAAATAACCCAACTCAAGATTAATAAAGCATGAACTTAACCCAATGCCTAGGTTACAGTAATCAATTTGAATGTTCGATTAGATTACCTGTGTACGATATTGTCTTTCTTTGATGTCTATAACTGCAACAGGATGTGTGTGAGTGTGAGTGTGTGAAACACATCATAGTGCAGGGAGCTAATAAAGCAAGTGTCGATTGAATTGGTGTCTCGGCTAAAGACCAATGAAACGCAGAATGAAAATAAAATGAGACCTATTATAGTATACTATGATACATGTGTCTTAAGTAACCCATACTATTGCACGGCATGATATTAATGCTCGAGCTCAAGCGAGGGCGATAATCACACGGTACAGCGATGGGATACTCGCGTCACAAGTATCAAACAACAATTTATAGAACTGCTATAAAATCAGCATTTTTCGGTTTGCCTATCCGTGACTTAAGATGGATCAGTTTTGCACCGTGAGGTTAGGGCATGAGCGCCAGCGAGTGCTCTAAGCACGGTGTCAAAATGAATTACTAAAGTAACAGATAGACTTTAAGCTACACAGTATTATTAAGCTTTATTATGTAGTATGAGCTCGTCGAACTCGCATAGCATTCTAGCTATAAAATTTGCTTCTGAAATGTTGTATATTTTTGGATTTCGAAACTTAGTAATGCTCATGAAATTTATAATTTTTCACGAATTTTTATCGACCAAAAATTCTTGTTAATAAACTTGAATGTGGTGTAGCGTTATCAATTAGTCCATCACAAAAATCAATTTCTCAACATTACGTTTGAAGCACATCCAAATTCCAAGTCTCTCTCAAAGATCATACGCGTAACGCATCCGACAAGTCTCATTAGATACAGTCACGTCAAACGAACGTTTAGAATTATTTAAAACTAAAGGTTGTTCGAAGAAAGTATACTTGTCAATCAGATGTCTATGTATGATAAGCATGAACCAATTTTTTGTTCACTATTTTTTATAAATATAAAATCAAGGTAATATCAAACGCCAATGTTACCAGAGATTAATTAATTTTCAGTGGACTGGCCTATATTTAAGATCGATTACAGCGAAGATAAATTAATTACTTCAAAAAATCGAACGGGTAAATTTATCCAACGTGAATCATGGAAACATGTCGACACGCACACTCGTTTATTGATGCATAAATAAAAAAAACATTAGGTGCTAAGAATAACCTACACCATATAGCGAACGATGATACTCACGGAGATCGAGTGAGCTTTGGCACTTGCAACGCTAATTATCACCGACTCCATAGGTGAACCTTAGATAAATTATACTGATATATCCTTGGAACGCGTAATCGAATCAATTAGTGTAAGCTACCTATTTGATTGAATGTACGTAATGATTAATACCTATAGAGTTGGGACTATCTTTTACCATTATATTTTATCTTCTCCTTAATATTCTTAGATTTATAGAAAAATTGAATTAATTCATGTTAGTGTATCTACGACTAAAATGTTTATCATTTGTATAATTAATAATCTGGCATATTTAGTTTTATTCCGATATTATATTGATTCTTTTAAATTATTATTATTTAAAACTGTTATGTTTCATCAAATCTATAGAATTGATATTAGTGAGCACAAAAAATCTTATCTTTACATCATATGAAAATTGTAATAGATCGGTAATAACTATTTCTATTCCAAATAAATCTTCTATTACCTCTACTCTATTTTCTAACTAATAATGAAACTCACTCAAGCCGGATGGTCTTTATACTTATAGTTTCTGCAGCTTGTATATTTCAAGGTGTCATACGCAATATTCTATAGAAATTGCAAGTATAATTACAATTGAACATGAGTTCAATTTGTATCATCCAATGTTATCGAATAACATAACTGCTCATTTTACCATTGGAAAAGATTAATTTGAAAAAAAATTCGTTATCCTAATTATGATTAGGATTGGTTAGATAATAAACGGTAATTACGTTCTAATGTGAACGTACCTTAAGCATACCTAAAATGTTTATAGATAACCAATCGAATTTCGGTTTGTAAACAGTACAGCTACACAGTTTGTGACGCTAGTTGAGCTCAGCTGTACTAATATGTGATATTGAATTGTTTAGTTAGCTGTATTATTGAAAAAATGTGCGCTGTGACATAGTTCTAAATTATATTTTTATGATGGCAATACAGATAACAATATCTAAGAGTACTTGCCTTTTGTTAGGAGCCGGTTTAGGAGTCATGATGGCTTTTATTCTACCTCCGTCGTGCAATGCATGCAAAAAAAAACAAAAAAGTATATAATTATTTGTTTAAAGTATTCGATCAAATACGTACTATAAATTATTGAAAAAACAATTTGTGTAGTAATAAGTGTTATTACTATCAAACTTTGGACAGTTTTAAAAATTATTTTCAATATATATTATAAAAAATTTAAGATTTATATATATAGATTCTTTTATATCCGTCTAGACAATAAGAATGAATGTATGCATGCAGCTACAAATACTGATAAGAAAGATGACGAAAAGCCAAGCAAGTTATATGGTGATAAAACTATGAGCGACATTTTAGAAAAAGCTAAATTGAGTATTCGTAAAGTATGGAATGAAGGGTGGAACATCAAGCTTTTGAATACCAAAACGACAACTACTCTCAGTTCAGATATTTTTGTTGACGCTCAATCTAGCTTTCCAATAACGAATAGTCATTCTGTAAGTATTATTTTATAAATTTTTAATTTCAGCAGAAAAAAATATCATAAATGTCTTTTAACTGTTATTAGAAAGGCATTTTCAACCCGATCTTTGATTCAGATGATACTGAAAGCTTGAGTACCATATACACACCTGTTGGTAAACTCAGCGTTTCGCAACGTTCTTCATTGAGGGACACAGTTAAGAAAGGATTCAAAGATATAGCTAAAGGTATTTCATTTGTTATGTCCATAATATTTTTCTACAATAACGATCGTATTTTTAGGGTATAAAAGATCACATACCTCAAAAAATGATAGCATCTGTAAAAGTTATCCGAAGCATGCGTCAACACTTATTGAAGTTGAAAATAAGTCTAAGGTACAAGGTGTTTTAGAAAATGAAAATACTCAAATGAGCAATGAATTTCATACTAATGAAACTAATAATGAAAGTCATAGCGATCGGAAATTAGTGTTAAATTTCAAAACATCCTTTAGCCCTATAATCAGGATATTTCAAGCTATAAAGAGTACGACACGTAAGCGTACGATAAAACGTGCTAAAGACGGAAGCGATAAGAAGAATAATGAAATTCTTAAAGTGGTAGGATCTGGCATAACGATGTAATCTCGATAAAAATCGAATTATCTATTTTGATTTCTTTTATAATAAATTCTCAATTTTTGTTAAATATGTCGAATTTTTATGACATTTAAATTTCTATATAAAGAGGTTTTCCATAATTTGAGAAATGAACTGACAAATTTGTTTCTGAAATTGTTTCTTACACTCTTTATTCAGCAAAGTATAATGCATTAAATCAAATAAATAAAAATTTGTTTGATTGAATGATGACTAAATATTGTGAAATGTTCGCGGTTTTGTCAGATCGCAGACAGCGTTTGGCTAAAAAGTTATAGATAGGTAATGCCAGATTGGCTGAGGAACCTTTCTGTTTTCATTTGCAAATATAATGTAATCCAGACTATTGAATTGTTACCTTTTAAACTCTTCATTCTATAATTCTATCTTGTACCCTGCTAAGTGCAAGAATCAATTTTTGTTGTAATTTTGTATTTGTAATGTAATTTTTGTTGTTGTATATGCCTACAATGTTATTTACAATTGTTGTAAAAACGTAATACATTGTTAATACTACCACAATCACTGGCCTTTTAATACTCAAAATGTAACGCACGACTTTTTTACAGTGGCTTCATAAGAGCAAAGGTAAAGATGTGCTATATAGGTAGAACAATGTCTTAAGAAAAATAATCAAGCAGCGTTTTGTCCGTTATATAGTCTCATCGGCAATTAGGTGACAGTGATATCAATCGCAGCGCAGCGGTACATACAAGAAAGATGAGGAACAAACATATACAACGCAGTTGCCACATGTACAGTCTGGCATCTCGACCCTGACATAATAATTGCCATAGGATCTGGACAGAAGCATTAGAAGATACACCGCAGTAGTAAGGGGAGCAATACGCATTAGATGTGCCGACTACATACGTCCTTCCCGCTTCGATAATGGCATTAATAACACATTATTTTCAAAGCACAACGCGCGACGATCAGCTGCTGCTGTTGCTGTCTGGTGCTAAAACCTTGCCGATTCATGCGCAAGTTAGAGCGGATTTTCATTTAGAAAACCAACTTTATCCGTTCGCTATTCAAGGATTTCCTTACCAACGGTTCCTGAGAAATAGCATCGCTAGCATTACTTTCTTTAAGTTACATTACAAATAGAGAAAATTACTTCATGAGAAACTATTACCATGCCGTGCAGGATTCAAAGATTCTAGTAATATGTGTATTGATGTACAGCAGACATTCTGCTGTATAGTTCACATTTTGACACATTCTAAACGAGAAATATTTTAAAAATTATACATTTACTTAAGAAGTCAATACTCAAATAAACAGATTTTCTTTGCATTTTTGAACGTGTTAATTAATGTTGCTCACTAGCTGCGAATCATTTTCGTTAATAATCAATATAGAAAATGACGTACACTTGGTCAATCATGAACTACAATGTTCTATAAAACGAAAAACCCCACCTCTGAATACAAAATTATATATTTTTTCTGAGAATTCTTAAATTAAACTTACATTTTTTATAGAAGAATAGTGCTCCCTTATAACGAAGTTTTTTTACATAATGAATTCACCACATAAAAATTACCTTATCATATCGATAAATGAAAATTGAATCTGACAAGAATCAATTGGACACGAAATAAACGACAATTTTTGTAAAAGATGATAACTATTATTTATAAACCAATCCATAAAAGAAATTTTTTCATTATAAAAATCCTATTAATGTGACAGATATTGTATATTTGAAATTGAATTGAAATTTAATATATAGTGATGTAACATACTTGTTCATAAATATTTGTTGAGCTCTACCATGGCTTCCTCTTATTAATTAACCGAAAAGCCTAGATGGTCTTTTATTTTATATCTTAACTATTACTTAATCGAATTGTGGAAAGGCATTTACAATTAAAAAACAAAAATTACACCTACAACCAAATAGCTAAATTTCGAACTTGACTGTTTAAAAAATTAATCTGTTTACAAAATACTTATCTCGCATACGACGTATTTAAGTACATGCACAAGAACTACAACTTCCTTGAACTTATTCAAAACTCGCAAACATAATTGATTTAACACCATGAAAGATGAAGTTCTGCAAATCAACATGTTTCCATCGAACGCATGACAGAATATTTCAAAATGAGTTAGAAGAAAACATAATACGTAAATAATCGAATTTGCTAAATTTCTCAAATACTTCTCAACATCTGCGGCCAAGGTCGTGATCGGAACTATATATTACACGTGAGAGCGTAAAAGCGAGAGCGGATCTGAATGTAATGATTTGGTGCCTGTGAACCAGCGACGATTGACACATCAAGGCCGACGATAAGCATGCGCCACTGACGAGAGTGTGATAGTACATTTTTTTCTTTCAAGGGTATATACCTACTAGATGTTTAAATCAGGAAGATGCTTAGAATTCGGATATTGCGGAAACGAAAAGAAAACTTATCTATTCAATATTTATAAAATAAGATTTAACATCCATCTTTAGATCAAATTCTTCCTGTATAAATAGCTTATTTAATCTGCAAATTTACTAAGGTTATAGAAAATTTATTTAAAAAACTAAAAAGAAATTACATTATTTACTGTCAATGTACAATCATTCACTTTGAGATTCTGTGCACTTGCAAAGTATTGCTCGAACAGACGTTTTCATTCATTTTCTCATGCACAATACCGTCTTTTTTATCATGAAATTAGTAAAACTTTAATGAATATTACAGTTTTCTGTAAAATAAAAAGAGCAAATAAAGAGTACATAAGACTTCACCTAAAATCGTAAACTTACATCCTGTAGAAGCGCTTTTTATTTCTGAGACCATTAAGCAAACACGTATTCGAAAATCAACAAAACAAACAATGTTTTATTTAATGCTGTAGGGCGATCTGGGTATGCTGTCTATGTGTATATAAAGACGTAGGCGTCACGTACCGGGTCTTTGGCCATGAAAGTCCCCAGGCGCGTATTGCATGAACGCGTGAGTGTTTGATAATGTGAGTTTCATCGTTTTGATCAATTTGCCTCAGATTATAAGATGCATGGTTGGCAATCTTTGCTTCATACAAAATTATTGGTTCTCACTATTCTCTCTTATATCTTTTATGCATCATGTGTTTTATAGTATTTTTTATATCACTTATACATATGGTCGATTTTTTAAACTGGAAAATTTAGAAGTTTTAGGGATGCTTTTAGTGTATTTAGGCAGTATTGATATTTAAACTCTAACGGAATATTTATATACTAATAGTTAGTACATTGACGTGGAATTTTCGTGATGAAGCAAAAAGTTCTGAAACGTGTAATTTTTATCTCTTATATCTGTCACATGCATGTTCTTAGATTAACGAGGTAGATAGTTGATTCTGAGTAATTAAATCATCGCGGCAATACCTTCAATAAATATAAATGGCGAGATCATGACATGTGGATTAGTAATTTACCTGTAATCTTGAAAAATAGTTCTATGGATAATAACATCTAAGGAACCGTAGTTATTTGGCATAATACTCGATATTTTCATAGTTATAGGCTACGACTGTTTAAGCGATCAAAATTCATTATTGTCTTTTAATGTAAGTAACTAGTAATCCAAGCTTTCGTATTATCACGCAACAAAAGCTCAGATTTAATATTTTCTATAAAAAATAGTTGATTTAATAAACAGCAAATTTTATCTAATAAGTAAATAATAAAGTTTGTTTCAGCTTAACTTTTGGTTTGGTTGTTCATTTCAACAATATCTTTTTTCCATGCAAAGGTTCTGATCTTAGCTTCGATTTTATGATATTACAAAAATTTTATATTGCTTGGTACACGATCTATTTATATTATAAGAAAATAATGTATTTGAACAATTTCTACGAGAATAGTCTGTAACTAGGAAAAATCTAGCACTAGACCGAACGGCTGTAGCTTCTTTCCTAGGTGATCCGCATTTTGTGGTTTCTTCTAATAAATGATAGCTTAATTACAAGAAACAAATATGTGGTATACTCGTTAAATAATATTTTTCTGTTATAACTGATTCTATAAAATTTGCTCTCATTCATGAATGAATGGTTGAACACGATTCCTTTCTCTACTTTTTTTCTTAACGCACAAGACACCTACAATCTAGCCAGTATTACAATCTGATTATGTCGTAAAGAAATTGTTGCGCTGACAAATTTTTATGCAAATTGATACTTGAGTTTATTGATGACGGAAAAATCCATGAGTTTATAATCATGATAAAGTAGTGCACATTCTATTTGTGTCTGCATTTAATTTGCAAAAAAGTATGTATTGGCGTTCTGACAGCAGAACAAATTTTTTAACCTAAACATTGTTTAAATTAGACGATGCCATTGTGAATAATTCATAGTGAGTAATACTAATAATTCTGGCATATATTGTGAATGCACATAGGATATTGAAATATTTGTTGTTTTTCATCTTGACTTTACATAATTAGCAGTACAATTTGATTGAAATAAAAATTTTATTTCATACTTTATTACCCATAATTGTATTTATTTCGTCCTTTATAATAAAGGAGCAATATGTACCAAAAATTATATCTATTTCAAAAGAAAATGCAATAAAATGAAACATAACTACATATTTGTAATGGTTAATAGTAAGGAACAAAGATTTTTTTCCGTGATCACTTCCAAACGTTCATAATAATTGGAAATCGTTTGGTATCTTACAGCTCGACAAGGTCGGTCGGCACATGGAGATCGCGTGTTGCGTTATATCACTCATAGTGCAGTCGTTCGCATTTCTGCAGTGTCCAATCTTAACGTTCTTGCGCTTTATTAAACACTACAATTATTAGATACCAGAATGTCCTGATCTTTTCCTTGTGATTGGTTCATTGGTTTCTTATTCCCTTAAATGTCTAGATGCTGCTACCTTCTCAAATTATTCTCAATAGAAGTTTTTGATCTTTTTGATAATTTTTTCTGTTCTTTTTATAAGCAAACAAAGGTGTTTTGTACTTCATATATAAACAGACTTCCTATGCTTTACAATAAATTATTTTAAATGTAACTTTGATAGTTGAAATCAACATTATTGATTAACTTAAATGATGTACATAATTCAATTTGTATAAATGACTAATACAGGAAATTAGATTTACAATTATGAGCGATAAATAAAATTAAGCGATAATATTTGAAGCGAATCATCTTTTTCTATAATCTGATCAAGTTTCTTTTCATAAAAAAAAATGTTTACGTTTGAATAATTCATTATAAATTCTAGTGCACTGTATCCAGATATTGCAAACTTGAAAGATATAATATGACTGACTGTTTCTTCTTCTATTTAAAATGCCATATAATTATAACAAATGTTAAATATCTTCTAACAGCTTTTCTTCTAAATAGAATAATGTCACAAGGCTCCACATTATGATTACTATTGGTTCCAAGGTTAATTTATTAAATAAACAGACAACTTTTTCATAAATTCAAATGAAAAAGAAAGACTTTATTATGATGCGATTGATCATTCCAGATGACTTATTAAAACTTATGAAAGTGGAAGACCATAAAAATTAATTATAAAATGTATGATTGTATAATTATTAATTCTTAGTTGGAAGAATAACTATGACAGATATTTTTTAAAATTTTGACGATGGAAGAAAGTCTTATGCTCGGCCAATAAGAAAGACATATAACTCAGCTTTTACGTGACTTTGGGCACTTCCTACTGCGATTCCTCTTTATCATCTGGAAGGGCAAAAATAGTCTCGTCTACTTTACTCGAGAAAGTAGCGGAAGCATCTTCCTCATTGAATAATGTTCATCCCCTATTTTAGTAAGCCGCATTCTGAGACGTTGAATAAAATAAATATCAGCGAGAGTGAAATTGCTTTGTATATCTTTTGAAAGATTGCTGCTTCTCTATTTTTATACTTTGTTCTAAATATTTGATATATTGCATTAATTTAATAATTTTATATTACAACAATGTATATTAAAGTGATATACCTGAATAATTATAACTGCACTATTAATGTAATTAGATTTCTTGTTCAGAAATTGCTTTTGAAGGCGCGTCAACGTTTTATAATAGGTAATCGTAGTCACACACCCACTAACGTGCCTTACCTATTCAAATCCGGATATCATCCACTGACACTTGTAAAGTCACTTAGCGATTGAATATAACTGCATTCTCATTATAATGTTTGCATAACGGTGCAAATGGTTTCATATTAAAGACTTTTTTTCGAATGTTTTATTTCAGGTAAACGTCGATGATTCACTCGCATTGTTAAAAATAGAGCTTAAAACATCGTGAAATTGATGTTTCCTCAAGTTGCTAGTACAAAATGTAGTGAAATTTGACAACATTTATTAGAATTTTTTTAAATTACTTTTAAGATTACAAGATATGTTTGGATATATTGGAAGATTTTGTAAAGATATTTCCAGACTTAAAATTTCCAAAATTCATCTACAACGATAATAAAAATTAAATTTATCTCCGTTTCTTTCTGATGTCTATTATTAATATCGAATAACTATTGTACATAAAAATCTACATAATCTTTTTTTTAACAAATAAGAAAAATGTTTGTGAAGCTAGAGACTATTAATTAGGATAGATTTTTAGACAATAAAAGTGAAACTAGAATATTCTCTAAAGACAATCCTGCCGAAATCCTCAAAAAAATGAGTACGATTATATGGCGCACGTCCGTGCTTTTTTCTTCCCCCTTCTCTCGCAAAGTTAAGTGTGGGAGTGGTCGAGAAAATAAAGACCCTGAGAGCCGTCATTGTCGTAGTTGATGATCGGACGAAATAAAAAAAGATTTCTGCGTGCAAGAGGCGTGTGCGACGCATGCTGATATAAGGAGCGCGAAAAATCACAAGATTTTAACGCGCCAATAAAAGAATAAAAAAAACTTGATCAGTATTCGTACGACGCAGAAGGTGTGTGACTTTTTGCACTCGTTTAACGTAACTTGCACGAGTTGTCGCATAATTAGCGGGATTACGTGAATTTTATCGCGGCGTATCGGTAATTATATTGTATATGTTTCGATGATACGTTATTATATGAAGTTTATTTAATCACTTATTTAGTAATATTGATATGTGCGAGAGTCAGTTGTTTACAATTCAATAAGAATTTTGTGAAAATTTTATTTCTAGATGCCGAGTGGCAAAGCTCCAATTATTTTGATGTACGATAACAATTTTTTTCAAACATTCAGTGTCGGTTTGGCAGCTGTAATGATTACTCTAAAATGCTTTTGAAATCGCGATTTACAATTGTATTTCAAGTTTAATGACTGTTTCTATTTTTAAATCTTTTTCCATTTATTAAGCGTTGGCTCATTGGCAATAATTTACTTCCGATTAATGGCCTGTAATTACACGAACATAGCATCACTCTGAAAAAAATAAATACCAAAATCTTGACTGTTAAATTTTCCAATGGAATAATAATAATGAAAATTTGATAAAAAATTTATTGATTGATTTGAAGATGGAACTCATAAACATTGTTAATTTCTCTTAATTTAATGTTACCAAATGCAGTAATATGTTTCGTTCACTTTTTATAAAGATTTATATAATTTTTCAAAGCCAAACCCACCGACATAGCTATTTTCAATCGATAGATGGTTGTAAGTAAATTAGCTTATCACTACAATATATTATAGTAAATCCGGAAAAGTTGCGAATGGATCAACCGCGACAACATTTTTTTTCGAATAATTTATCAACAGTGAATTGGTATTATACAAAACAAGATTGAATACATTGAAATTTTATTGTGGCTCTTGAAACTATAAATTATCTAAAGTAACAAAAACGTTTAATCTTTGATTTAATCTCAGTGAGATTTCGGACTGAATGAGATCACGCAGGAATACTATAAAGACAGAAGTATGCCAATAAAAGTAAATAAGTTAATTCTCACTCGACATACCGAAGGTTGACCGGTTTTAAAAGTACATTACAGGTCTCCTTATTCTTAGAAGTCATGATGAGTTGTACTGGATCACTAAACAATTGTTTTAAGATTTGAAATCATTGATATTTATTTAATAGATACCTAACTTTGTCACTTTAAGTCTTTCGGAACAGTCTGATTTGTGAGTCGTATACGTTGAAAAATTTGTAAAATGAACTTGAACTTAAAAAGAAGGTGAACAAGATAAATATTTGACGTGTACGGGGAAACCCAGATTCAAGAGATCGGGCAAGTGAGGAATCTTCAACGAAGCAATATAAGGGACTAAACTAGTTTAGTCCTCTTCATTATACCGTTTACAGCCTTCTTCAATACTTAAGCTTTCGTTTCTGTTCTGACGAATAGTTTGAGATGACACACGTACATGGAGATTTCCAACGTTGACGACAGAAAAAAAAGTGATCTACAGTCAGGAAAATGATTTAATTGTAATGAAAATTGTGACGCAAAATTGCAAAAATGCTACAATCTATATAAATCGTGACAGAAGATTCACTCTTCAGTAGTCACACATGTACTTTCCTCATTTGATGTATATATGTATATATAGAAAAACCAGTTTCGAGCCTCCAAGTTTTTCAAGCCGCTACGTAGCTGCTGCGCGAGATACACACATTACATATTGTCCGCTCATTCGTTATCCTTCGAGATCGTTATCAGCGTATATGCAAGAATGAGTAATTCTCTGCAGAGATCCGTTCAACAATCCAAATAATTACACATTAGGATATGTATATACACGCGCACGTGAAGATTGCATGTCTATGAGCTTCCATCAGATCCTTTTAATTCTATCGTTAATTTACGAAATTGTCGTTATTTATTAATTACATACGATTGAAATATTGATTATTAAAATATTTTGTGACTTCTTTTTTAAAGCCGTAATTGAATGAACATTTCAATCGTAACCTTTAGACTACGTCACGATTAATTGAATCGAATCAGTTGAAAAGGAATTTTTATGAAAGAAGGAAACTTTTTTTTGGTTAGTTAAGGACTTGACGGCATGTGTCGCATGAAATATGTAACTCTTTTATTGAGCGCTTTGATGAAAAGCTTCATAATCCGTCTCTCATTTACCTTGACTAAAGCATATGAAAGATATATCAACGCGAGGAGACGAAGAACAAGACGTAATATACGTACAAATCATATTGATTTTAAAATCCGTATACGTCTGATCATGCATTCCTCTAACATACAATGTTTCTTTTTTTGCGTCTGTGCGCTATCATGACGTCACGCTTGAACGGATGTCGATTTGATTTCTCTGCTGCACTCGATGCCGGCGAGAAAATCTTTGTCTCGCAATATTACACACAACCTTTTTTATCTTTCTTTCTTTTCTTTTGCGGCGTGCCGAATGAAGGACAATGATCCACGCTCTAGCCTATATAACGTTGACTCCTAAGATATTACGCGGCTCTGTTTCTCATAACATTATTTTCCGTATTGGGTAGCTATTCCGGTTTCATAGATATAACCGAACTGTTGATTTTTAATTGGTTAATTACAAGTTTTACATAGTTAGGAAAGTGTAAAAAGTTTCTTTACAAGATATTGAATCTTATGTATTGAAAAATTAAGCTGAACCACTCATACTGTAGTAACAGATAAGTAACGACTAAAGTGATTTTCATGAACAAACATTTTTACAATTGAACAAAAACAGTTACAATTTTTCATTGCTACTTATTATTTTTTGTTAGAGACTATTTGACAAATAGTAAAAATGTCTATGTGTTGGACTTTTTAACTTTGATAATTGTAAATTTAGTTATTTGCATAGGTAAACTTTTTAATTTTTTTTGTATTACGTTACGGTCACATTTACGTATGTGCGTTGATGTATTTAATTTTGAAAAATGGACAATTGTTCTTTTCAAATAATCAAGATTTTATGTAAAAATGTTTATTCGCAGAGATCACTTTAGCCATCGCCTATTTATTGCTTTATGAGAACTCTTTGGAACTTATGAAATCAAAGGAAATTATAACAAATTTATTAAATAGGCAACGACGATCGAGTGATTGAGCTACTTTTGTATTCTATTATATTGTGTTACGCAACTTCTATATCTCAAAAGCAGAAATTAAATGTCGTGATGACTTTATTATCAGTACATCGTGCTGCAAAAGTTATCTTTGTCATTAAAAGTTTGTAATTGTTTTGATAATATGCATAAAAATATCTCGTAGCAATTAGTTACAGAAATGAATGATAAGGCATGTGCTGTTTCTCATAGCAGCTTATTTTTCTATGAATTTGATAAAAGATTTGACCAAATTCTACTGACGATGACACTTCAAAACATCGGAATAAAAATATATCCATTTCAAATAGAAGTCAAAGGAAACAAAAGAAAATCAATATAATAGTTATATTTCATTAAAATAAACTCATGTGGTAATTTTAAAAATTTGGTAGAGCCATTAGAACTGTATTCGTAAATAAAATTCAAAGAAAAAACCCTTTACACGCGTCAATCGCCAAGAGAGTATCTGTATTTTGAAGCAATATATGAACAATGAAACATTATAAAGCTAACATAGCTGTGATTTGGCTCGTTTTCTCTCTCGCTTTTATAGATCTAATTAACGCGAATGTGTCTAATGAAGAATTTACGCATGCGTTTGCGTGCCAGTCGTACGTCGTTCAATGGCGCCGCGGACAATAACGCTGGCTCTTTTTTCTTCATCTTCTTACTTACGCTCGCGAGCGCGCAAAGCTTAATATAGGTCAGTGTCGATACGCTTGGATGCTTCCGTCATTCGATGTTTTTCCCTCGCAAGCAGGAGGAGAGGACATGAGATGCGCGCGATAATTGTGTACTGTGTGAGAACAGATGCTAATTGATTATATACGCGCCCCGTTGGTTAATCTGATTGATGGAATTTTCGAACGCGACGTGATTATAAACAGCTCTTTGATAGAAATTAAACCTTTACGCGCCTGATATATAAATATCGATGAATATTCAGTATATTTCAGAGCAAACAACTCCTTACAATATAAATATATACATTTTATCAAATGTTTGTTATGACTTTATTGATTGCACATTGTTGCTCGTTTAAATTAAGGAGCTAGCCAAATAACTAAAATGGATCGATAACCTTCATTATAAGTTTGTCGTTGCAGGTGCGACAAAAAAAGTCCAAATTATCACGTCCACACCGTTGTAGCGATAACAATTGCGTCCGCATGTATCCATGTAAGAGTGAAATCGACGAGTTTTTGCGCTCCGACGACGACGTTGACCATGGCATTTTAAAACATTTTTCTTTGGCGTTCGCGCGTCTAATTGGATTACGCAGATTTGACAGTATGTCGCACAGGTGCGAGTCCATAAAGTATGTAATGTTTTCTCTTTCTCTCCACGTGTAAATAGTGAATTTCGAACGCAATGTCATTGAGACGATAGTTTCCAGGATAGGAAGAATTGCAATGATCTCGACTGTACCTACTATAGATTATGGTAATTTTTTGTCTGGTAACGATGACAGTGATTAATTAGATATCTATGGATTAATCAGTTTGTTGTAAGTAACAATTATTGGGATACATGTATAGGCATCAGAATGCTCTGCACTTCTCTTCGATTTATTTACATCTATTCCGCGATGTGTAGATTTTTCTTCTTTTTAATTTGAATGCTTTTTTTAGATTTACATTGAAAGTCAGAAATACTTGAAAGAACATGAAAATTACCTAATTATATATATTGTTATTTTTCTTTCATTTCAATCTAATCTCACAAATGTAAGATTTTTTACTTTTGCACCTTTCTAGTGAATTTCAAAACTACCGATCACACAAAGACATTATTTTAGACAATTCTACTGAACAAATAGTAATTGACCAGTATATACCGAATTCAAGTTGTGCTTGAAATAAGATTGACAGGTTCCACAATAGCTGTGGTGTCATTGGCACAAGGGCCACTCTGTCACCGACCACACTATACGCAGATTTTATTAACAATAAGTGGATCGAGATTCGATTTCGTGCTATCTGGTAATTGAGATCTCATTTTTTTCATACATTGTACCTACAAATGTGTTTTTTCTTGTAGATGCATAAACAAATTAGTTATTTATATATAAATAAAAGCTTGGAAATCACTTAAATCTTCATCATTTGATTTGTCTGGATTGATGAGTTTTAACATCTGCCGATAATTAAAAGCTGTTTTCATTTATTTTTATTTTTAATTTATGTACTGGAAAGAGAATTGACTAATAAAAATATGTCATAAACAAATTATCAAATGCTTTTTTCTATGAATCTCGACAATTTTCCAAATTTTGATAAAATGTCTAGACTAATGTACTTGTCAATATGTGGAAAAGAATTCGCTAATACAAATTTGTAACAGCTAGTAATGACGCACATTTAGACGAATACGAGATCTCTTTTAGTTGTAAGCGATTAAACTCCTCGTCAATAATTGAGTTGCATATCATGACTTCAATGAATCGTCTTGGGAACAGTTGATTGATGTAAAAACTATTAAACGGATTTCTTCGAAGGGAGTGATTACTCCGGTCTCTTGTTGGCAAATTACTTTTTTTTACAAATTCATTTAAAAAAAAAATTAATAAATTATGGAATAAAATGGTTTCGAATGCACATTACATACGAAAAATTAATAAATTTTGAAATGAGATCAAAAGCTGATGTTGTTTTGTAATATCGAGAGTGCCTTTGTTAAGATCGCGAAGTGTGTTACGTGAAAAGGAAAAAATTGCTAAAAGCAAACCTATTAACACTAATAGAGTGTAAAAAGCTAATGACGTTCAAACGCATAGGCTCGATCCGACACACGCATACATAAAAAAAGAACGAAGAATCGACGATACATAATGTTATAATGATTATCATAATCGAGCCCCCGCACGTTATATGCCTCCAAGGATTTTTTAATTGATCAATTTGCATTGAGGAACTAATTATCGTCTACTATGTGGTTGATTATAAGAATATTAGCATTTAACTCGAATCAAGATCATCAAGCAAAAAGCTCATGAAACCTGTATAGCTTGCGAGCAAGAAAGATAAAAAAGCTGCGCGTACTCAGTGTACTGTGATTCATTGTAGACTTCGATTGTATCCTCAAAATACGAGATTTTAAACAAAAAAGCATTAAAACAATTTGTATTTAAAGACTATACGGAAGGACAACTACGACTACAAAAATACTAAAATGGGCGTGTTCGTCGAACAAGAAAAAAGAGCTTGATGCATTTGCATGCATCTAATTATTGGAATTCCATTATTTTTAGCGTTTTAGCGATACAGATGTAAGGTTTTTTTTTCTTCTCCGCGAGTCTGGAATTGCACCTGTTATGCTAATGTTGAATCTGATATGTTTTATGGAGACAAAAAAAAAACTGTCAGTGTGCAACTTTGACCGATTTTCGAGGCGATCGACCCGCGTGAACGCTGTACACCTATGACTCATTTGGTGAGGAAATCACGTCGGTCTTATTCACGCTGCACTTTTCAATAAGAAATAATTTGATTTTTAATAACGAAAAACATGTTAGAATTAACTACTCTCGTAAATTTTCCAACTGTAAACTATTTACAGTTGGATTGACGTAAAGCTTTGGAGAAAATTCTGCTGGTAAGTAATTATTGTAGCACGTCACAATGTCAAAACATTTCATGCGTCATAAATAGCTTAGTGGAATATTATATCTGTAAAATTAATATCCGTAAGCGTGCGTGCGTAACTGGTTGAACTTTCCTTAATTTCAAAAAAAAATAACATTTCAATTATACGCGTTGACGCAAACTATTGGCGAAGTAATATGCTTAAAAACTTAATGATTTCTCGAAGACCATCAGTCATCAAATCTTTTTGATCATGTAAACAATGCGTTAGTCACTGAAAGTCTCGTAAATGCTTTTGGATAATGCTCAGAACTGATTTAAAACCAATCAAATACATCAGGCACGTGCTACATTACGTATCTATCCGCGCATGAATTTGACGTCTTTAGATTTCATTGCATAGAGAACATTTCATAGCTTCTGTGGAATTTTGTTACCGTAGGTGATTTTTTTTTCACGAAGGCAAACTTTTTTTATTTTTATTTTTTATATATTGAACGTAGTACAAGTAGTTACCACGGACTAATGGTAACAAAACCAAAGTCGATGCAACGAAACGGCATTTGTGAAAAAATAAACGTCAAAGTCGGCTCCCGATTGTCTTATATGCAGTAAACTAGATAAAAATTTGCATAATCGTCACAATACATACTATAAAAATATGAGAAACATCCTCGCGGAAGAAAAGCTACCGAAAAAAAAAAATTGTTCGCGTCACACTGATAGATATAAAAACAATCGGATCGTGGTACCTATCGTAACGATCAAATGACAGTATATATCTCCAGCTTCCGTATAAAATGCAAGCAGTCGAAAAAATCGAGTAAGAATAAAATTCGACCTCTATAGGCGCTTTTTGATCGTGCCTGCACGGATATCAGTGCAAAGAGCCACCCAGTTTCTCGATATATACGTGCTGCCGCCGTGTTCATGACCTTGATATATAAAAGTCCATTCGTTTCCCTTTACCATTCCAAGCGTCATCACCTGCCGATCGGTTTCACACTCGTGGAAACTATTAGATTACGATGTTCAAGCATCGTCCTATAATAATATTCAAATGTTGCCTGTGGATACGTCTCGTTGTATCATGCTACAAACATTTTAAATTATTTTATATGTTGCAACTCTGTATCGCGGACATTGTTTTAAATGTCATCAGCTGCTGCTGATATGCAATAATTTAAAACGCATTTGAGAACTTGATTTGAACTCCTTCTTCAGCTGAAATTGGCAAAACAAAGAGATTAAAATTCGACTGATCTCTAAAATTATTGGATTATTACGTGTTAATCGTCACGTATTTCACTTTTTATATCATAAAGCTCATTGGAAGATTAAAGCAATCATATGCAAAGAGGTAATTAACGAAAAAAAATTAATCTGTGCGTAGTTAAAACGCAATCGAAAGATGTTTTTTCTGTTACTTGTATAATACCGATACATGTGTAAGATTTTTTCTTTTTGGGAAAAAACGTACTAACTTGCATAATTTTACTTCAGCTATTACAATCGAGATAATTGTTAGGTAAATTACGCAAGGTACGCGCGATTGCATTATCGTGCCAATTTGATACCGTAATGTCTTCATAATACGCTTCGAAATTCATGTTAAATCCGTGAGCTTATAAATATCGTTCTTTATCATTTTTATCTCACGTCGAATATGTTTCAAAGCTAACTTTTGGATAGATGACATTTGCCCTACAGACGAACAAGGAAAAATCTTTTAGAAACGTATGGCAGATAAAACCACGACATTTTAGATTCACAAGGTAAGTATATTTCCATCATCGCACAACCGAGTGTCGTTTAAATTTCCACTGTCAAGTGTCGGAGGATGTATCAGGACGAAACATAATTCAGACGATACTTGATCACACGGAAAATCCATTTCTGTACGCACTTGCGTAGGAAACTGTAAAAGAAAAAGCATCAACAAGTAAAAGAGCATCGGGGAAGATCCATGTTTTGCTTCTTCAAGGAATACGGTTGAGCAAAACGTGTTTTTCAGCAGGAAAGTAATATTAATTAAGCGCGAAAGGAACCGCGTGGTTTCTCTCTCTCTCTCACACACGCCCACACACACACATACATCACTCGAGCGAGTCAATGAGTTGCCGCGCGCGCACCTGCGTGCGTCGTGCGCGTGCGAGTACTGTCCGTTTTGCCTACGTCATAATGCGTGTCAAACGCGCTGCAGCAGCCGCTCGTGTGACGTAGCTTCGCGACTGTTAGCCCGATAAACGCATGTCTTGGGAATTTTTCTCGAAGCTAGATTGTTTACGCACAATTTATCTTGCCCTCGACTTTTTTTTTTATTTATTCGCTTGTTTGTTAGTTACGGGGGAGTACGGCAAAATTTTCTAAGGCATCACGTGGCAAGACGTTAATTGGCGATCGAGAGGAAAGTTGTAAGATGATTTTTTTCTTAATTAATTGCTGAGAGCAATTCGTCGATACGAAGAAACTTCCACCAGGGAAAAGTTGTAAAGCGATGCTCAAGGAATAATTTTTTTCCGTTTAGCTTTTTTCGCTTTTTGCTTGACTAAAATTATTATGCACGCCCCAATTCATTTTTGCTGATTGTCCACGATCACCAAGTTATTTTATCAATGGAAGGTCGATGTAAATGATAAAAGTTTTTTTTCTACGCTGGGAAAAATCTATAGAAAATTAATTTTCGCAGCATGACTGTTTTACTAAACTTAAATTTTTGGGCTCTATAACGAAGGAAAAGTAACAGTGAGGAAGCAAAGCGGATATTCCGTCTCGTAATGTAATTATTCAAGGACAGCTTGTAGAAGAGTGCATAAATCATAACTGTTTTATGTCGATTAACATTAAATTTTATTGTTCATTGTTACGTATCACTTGATCCCCATTATTTACAAGTAATTTCAAATAATCATCGACATGGAATATTAATTTAATGTAATAATTACACATTTTATAAAGTAAACTCCCCGCGGAAGAATATTTTCTATTACTTGTAGGCAAATGGAGCTACGAATAATTTTCACATTCTTCATTTGAGGATAAACCATTGTTCCTGATTGACATGTGTAAACAGAAAGTCTTCGAATTAGCATCTAAGCACTTGAAAGAAAAGTGACGCGTCTATTTCTTTTCCATGCCCGGCTCTTTTCAGTTTTCTATCTAAATTTTAAATGCTTGTACATGTAAGATTTTAAATATAGACTTTATAATAATAAAACCATCATATTATTATTTGACACTGATCTCTTTAGCAATACGAACACGCGTTAATTAAAAGCAAATAACAATATGCATATAGCAAAATTGTGAATGAATAATAAAATGTTTCAGACCTGAATACCTGCGAGAATTTTTCCCATAATTATTTATAACGATTCTGTTTATTTAATCAATCGAATGCTACAAATCATACTATATACTTGAAGAATTACTTAGTAGCACTAGCGTCCCGTAGTGATCTGTCGCATAGGTCTTAGAATAATGTAGGAGTGGATTTATTTTTTTTTCTCTAAAAAAAAAAGACGATCGAAACGTTGAAAACAAATTTATTGCCTCGATAATACTGGTGGTTCGACTCATTAACGAAATATCTTACGCAACGACGATCATCTTACAGCACTCGACTGCAAATGACTAACGAAGCTGAGAACACTGCTCAAAATAATAGCCAAGATTAAATTTATTTAAATGGGCTACTTTTCTTCAATCAAATACCTGCATTCTGATATATATTTTGGTTTTCCCCCGTTATTTTTATGTTAAAGTATTTGCTTTGAATAGAACGTTACGTAAATTAACGTCTTATTTTAGTATTGATAATGTGTGGCAACAATCAGTTTTTTCAATAAGGTTGTTCAAGACGAACAAAAATTTTCAATAAAGCGGCCAGAGAAATCTAAATGCAGATACGAAGTATCGGTATCTTGAATGAATAATTTATAATCTATAACAATTTTTATTTGACACACTGGATAAGAATAATTTGTTCATTGTCTGGATGATAGTTTAGTGAAAATACACATGCATACTGAAACATATCACAAAAGTCTGTTTGAGTAATATTTGACTGAACCAAAAATGGTCAGAAAAATTAAAGGCTCTCGAACACTCGAGTACACGTTTAAAAATCATATGCTCGCGATCCACACGGACAAGTGTACATCGGTGCATTTGCAATGAATCACAACCAAGATCAACAGTATCAGACGTAGCAATGAAATCGGCAGTTGACCACCCGAAGACCTTGTCAATCTGGCTTTGGCAGTCGAAAAAGAAAGCAAATCGACAAACAAAAATCGCCGAGATAAAGTAAAAAAGGCGTAATATGTTAGTAACGCGCGCGTAGATCGTCGAGCGCGCGGAGCGTTGCGCGCGCGTTATACGCGAGAGGCAACAGTAGCTTGGAGCTGGCGCTTGACGCGAGAGTGAGATAGAGCGAGAGAGAGTGGGGGCACCCCTGACCCCGGCAACAGGCTGCTCGGTGAAGGGAGGCTGCGTTTATAACTGCCGGCAAACCGCCCTGGAGACGCATTCGCTCGTTCGCTTCGCCCGCAGCAGATCAGGCTTAGGAAGCCCGATTTTAGAGTTGGCTTGAGATACGGTGCAGTTTTAGTTGAGACAAAAAAAAATTGCATCTTTCAACGCTTTCCTAATTTTGTTTTCTTGGCTAAAAGACGCCCTTTTATCTCGCCACTTAAACTTCATATTTTTCGCGATCTCTCGGGACTCCCCGTTTGGCAAAAGGATCTTACTTGAGCGCGTAGTGTCGCGACTGTTGAAATCTTTGATTTGAAGTTTTTTTTCGTACGAGAAAAGTAACAACAATGGCTGTTGCTGCCGCACAGAAGAACCGCGAGATGTTCGCCATCAAGAAGTCTTACAGCATTGAGGTGAGTTTTCATATTACAAATTTGGTTTTTCCATTTCTAAGAGCTGCACTTGTGTAATGTGAATAATTCAAGTCGATGCTCTCTTTAATTGTATTTGAATCATTGTATTTTTCCAAGAATCCCATTTTGTATAAGTTCGTTTAGTGATGACGTCTCCCGTTTATTATGGTTACTAATTTTTATAAAGCAGTCCAAGGTTACTTATCTATGTCAGAGAAACAAGTATGACTATTTTACAGACTCAAAACTAACTTTTTTACGAGAAATAATATGCCGTATAAAGTGCGAAGCATCTGAAACTGCAAGTGTAACTTTTATGAATTCAATAATGTCCCACCGTAAAATTAAATTTGAGCTTGTCATTCTGTTAAAGAATAAGATAATAATTACCAATAAATTTTGACTTTACGATTGCAAGAAAGAAAAAACGTCCAATTACTCGCGAGGCATTATTTTTATGACAAATAATTTAGTCAGAAGTACACAAACCGGTCTATATCTTGCACTTGTTGCATTCAAAATGACGCGCGGGATTTGAATTTTACGGTTTCTTGTACAATGACAACAAATGTTGGATTTTTTTTTACTTCGCTTTCGTTGCACCTTTTTATTAGCTTATCAATGTTGATATTATTTACTAGTGATTATTATCTTTTTATAATAAATTATATTGTCTTATGCAAATCTGAACTATCTTTGAAAGTCCGATTAAATTAATTATATTGTAATTACAATGACAACGTCGTGTGATATTTTTCATTGACTCGCTCAATATTAGTTCAGCATCACGATTACTTTGTTACACTTTAACTTTTTAATCTCATTACTTGAAACCAATGTGCAAAATAAGAAATCCAACTTATGATAGTCAATTTTCTTTTGTAGATCACATTTTTGTGCTTATGTTGTAAAATAAGTATTTTAATAATCTAAATAGCTAATTTTACACATTTTTGACCGACAGTTTTCGAACATAATTTAAAAAAAAACATAAAAAACATGGGGAACCGACGTGAAACTATGAAATGAATCGCGCTAAAGCATTTCCGTTCTTTGACCAAAAAAAAGAGGAAAAAAATCTCAAGTAGTATGACTCAAACAATGTCAGTTTCACCTTTTTAAAAATCACAAGCCGAAAAGCCAAACGGACTACAACTTTCGCATTGCAAATAGTCCCTCTACACTTCTGGTAATTTTTTTCGGCGGAAATCATGTGGCTACGTGACCAACAGCGCGCGCTTACACCTTTCGTTAAGAAAGAAGAATTACATCAGAAGCGGACGAGTAAAGTCGTTGCAAGTAACGCTTCTTCTTTTTCCCATAAGTGAAATTCTGAGCGCGTGCGTACAGCTTGTAAACAGTGACGAGTTGTCGAGCACCATCTAAGAGAGAAAGTATCAAACACACGCACACAGGCGCGCGACATGTACGCACAAGACACTAGAGCTGTGTGAATTTCAACGCGTTAGAGCCTTGGAATTTATAGATGATTTACGGCCTTCTATGGACCATACATTTTTTTCTTTTCTTGAAAATTGTGCAGCTAACTAGATGAACAGATTCAATTTCTTTTAGTCAGAATCGGAAACTCGGATTTTTCTGTATGCTTGTCCAAATCATTAACGAATACATATAGTAAAAAATAAACTAAATTATTATTTAAAAAAATATTCCAGCTATTAAATATCTTGATTGCCAGTATAATTATTAAAAATATTATCTTCGGTAGATTGAATAATAATTCACGTCGATCTTGTTGTCAAAGACATTCAATAATTAAAATACATGTAAACGAAGACACTATAATTATTTAAATAATACACTTCTTTATGATAACAGAACAAGCCGTATGCTAATTAATTATTTTGCCGATTACATGTAGATACAAATGACGTATAGCGGTATTTAAATAATTATAAATTCAATGTGTCATTTATTTATATTAAATGACATTATAGAAACTTACATGTTGATCCATTTTTATATACGCGGCAAGCTTCCTCATACCTTTCTCTTCCTCCCTCCCCTCTTGCTTTAACAACAAATCTAGCGACAAACGTAACACATTCGATAAGTAGATGATTATTCGGTTGGAACGCGCTTGTTACACGCAACAGACGTAAGATTCTGGAGAATACGCTTCTAAAATCACTTTTCACACGCGAAAATATGTAAGATACATCGAATCTTCTAGATTTTTTTTACTTTTTACGTCATTTATCTCTTGATTGTAGAATGAGGTTTTCTTTCTTTTTTGTTGTTTCATTTACATTTTCACGTTTGATTCTCATTGAACTCGTGCCAAGCCTCTGCTGTAATCTTTTTTTTCTACTCCGGCATTGAATCTACCTATTCGAGTGATTAGTTAAAAAAAAAAAGAAGAAAAAAGTGCTTTGTTAATATAAAGTAAAATCGCTCCAGTTGACAGTGGAAAAAAATTGTCGATCGTTTTCACAAGAAACGAGAAGTATCTCGAGATATACGCGGGCTGCCGATTCCTTATTCACGTGCGCGTCCCTGAACTCAAATCAAGACACCTGTGGTATACATCGACATCGCGACATTGTCCGATCAGCTGTTCGCGTCTATAAAAAATGGATATACCGGAAGAATGGCAGCAGCGTGTCGGTCTGTCTGTCTTTCTTTTTTTCTACAATGTGTAAACCTAGACGCACATCTTGCACACGTGATTGCAAGCACGTACTTGAACGCACTTTGACGTCTCTCTCGTGCAACCGTTTGATTTATGTGTAGATACGTAATTAAGAGATCCGCCTATGCGCGTCTCTCGGAATTTATTTTGGAATATTCATTCGCATTTTTCTTCTCTCGCGATAGACAGTTCAACTTTATGTTAAGCGATTCTTCAACGCGTGAAATTTAAATAATTATAAGAACGATCGGTGAGATATTCGAATCGATATGAGTTACGAAAGAAAGAAGAAAGAGTTTTAAAAGTCGCGCATGGTATAAGGAAAACAATATTTAAAATGATGCCGATTTGAAGATAAATCTTATGGTGAAGTGGAAAAAAAGAACTTGTTTATAAACACATACTTTCCGATAGTTACGCTCTCGTGCTGCACTATCATTCTCTTGCGCGATATATATACAAATGAAGCTCGTCTACCTCATTATCCACGTGCGCAGCTTGTTCATTATGAAGGAAGGGTAAAGAACGCTTGATTACTTTGAATATCAGCTTTTTTTCAATACAAACATATTTTCTCGATTTGTTTCATTTATCTTTTTTTTTTATTCTTACAAACGCCCATTGATGATCTCGACGCCAAAATGATAATAATCAACATACGCTTTAAACAAGTACATTGGCATAAAAAATTGTCACATCGAAAAGCAAACAGCCAACGTCGATCATCATGCGTGCAGTGCAAAAAAAATCAGAAAAAAAAAAAAAAAAAGAAACAGGTGTCTTAGACTTCATCAGATGAGGAATGGATTTCTCAATCGATCGTCCTTGCCAGTATGGGCTCTCTCGTAGCAGCAGCTCTCCGTAATTATGAATATCTTATAAAATCGACGATCTACTTGGCGCGCGTGCAACAAAATAACGCGAGGCCGCAAAGAACAAGGCTGGACTCACGTGCTGCCGCCGTCGCGACCGTTAGGAGGCTCGCCCCCACATGCATGCATACACACAGACGCAATTCATTCCAGTTATGTTGATTAAGCCTGTTGTTACCGCCTCTCGTGGATAAAAATACGTTTGAACCTGTGCGCCGATTACGTCGCGATTTTTCGTCGGAGGAAAAAAAAAGAAAAAAGGAGAGTGAGTCTGCAACAGCGTACGGTAATCGTGTCAATGCTGCAGTTACAGACGAAAAAAAAAAAAAAAAAAAAAAAAAAAGAAACGTACAGAACGGAAAGTTAGCGAAAAAATGATAAAGATCGCGGTTATAACGGAACGTTTATTCGCGAGATGACTTTGTGATCAAGATTACTGTGACATGTGATGTGATTGAATATTTATATTGGGCATCACAAGTACACCCGGTTTTACGCGAATATACGCGAAATCGATGAAAAAAGAAAGAAACAGGTAGGAAAGCGTCAGAGTGTCGTAATAAACTGGCGGCGGTGGTGCACACTCATCGTTCGGCGATCTCAAGTCTCGAGTACTTGGCCCACTTTTAGCGTTGATGAGCGCGAAATGCATCCGCGGCAAAAACGCGACCTTTGACTCATCGTGATTCTGCCTTTTTTTATAACTGGATTTTGGAGTAACTCATGCTTAAAATTGAATCTCATTGATTTGCAGTGCGTGAAAATAGGAATTAGAATATTTCCATTTCCTAAAGCTTCAAGCGCAGACCAGTCCAAGCTTGTCAAGTGCAATTTTATTTTCTGTCTCCCTTATGCGCAAAAGGGATGGAGTCGTTATAGGACGGAAATGACGTGTGGCCTTTTGTTCAACCACCTAATCGTCGTCAACAGTGCGCTATTGTTCTGTAAAGGATATCTCTAGGTCACTCGGCTAAGTTGTCCCTTTCAATTCGAGTGAATTATAAGACGAAACTTTTTAATTAGAGCTAAACGAGTGGAATTCTTTTTTTTCCCGAGCGTGAAAAAGGTTCCTTTTTTGTGAGATGTTAATGTGAATGTTTGTTTTTGATTTCAGAACGGATATCCAGCAAGACGTCGTTCTCTCGTAGATGACGCTCGTTTTGAAACACTGGTGGTGAAACAGACGAAGCAGAGCGTGCTTGAAGAAGCACGCCAGCGAGCGAATGGTAAATTTTCGATGTTGCACGGCAAAATTATTGTAGTTTATATTTCCTTTCTTCTCGTTGTCAATCGATGTTGCATGTTTTGTGTTTTTCCTTGTTTCGCTCAAATTAGATACCACCGATCCAACAATTTATGGACAGGAGCAGATTAAGAAGGAGGATCAGCCTTTTGCCGACTCGTCGACTGAATCATCTAGCGATGACGAGCAACAAGAGACTCTTGCTTGTGCTGCTAAAGAAGGAGGTACGTGATGTTGTAGTGTTTTCTTCTCTTCGTTTTGTTACTTTTGCACGTTGCATGACAGTCTTAACTTTGTAATTTATAGAAGCTAAAGCGGAAGCTTCATCCTCTGACGGCGAGGGGAAAGGTGACGACGATGATGAACGTAAGTAGAAAAAAAAGAATAAATAACTCGACCCCGAAAAAAAAGAACTCGCAACGGTAAAAAGACCTCATTTAGAGAAAGTTCCCCTCATTGTCGTTAAAGACGAGTGCACTTCTTCAAATATCTCGAGTGCCTGCCTTCTTTTTCTCGCCATGCATTTGAAAATTTTGTAAATTGCGAGACTTTCTTTCATGCCCAGAATTATTGCCGAGAATTCTTTCGAGTCTCATGTGTGAACCTTCTAATATTTGAGTCAAATTTTTTTTTGAAAGAAATTTTCCCCAAAACAATTGGCAATCTGTTCAGCATTAATTATTTATACGAAGAATATCATAATATTCCTATAATATTGAAATTTTCAATTTTAACATCATACACGGATACCGATTCTCAATCAACTCTCACAACCTCACCAATATATAGACAGTGATATATTTTAAAGGTCCATTGCATGGCTCGTGAAGCGTGTGTATAACGCAGTTAGCCGTGTCCCCTTTTCACCCGGCCACTCGTCGCTTTTACGCGCGCGATCACGTGCACCGCCTAGGCACTCTCACTTCTCTTTCTCCATTACCTTTATTACCTTTGATGCCCGGAAATGGACTTAAAATTGCTGCTAGCCAACCCCCACGCCATCGTCTCGACGCGCGGAGAATTCCAAAAGACTCGCTAAGTGATTTCTACTTGTTCTCGGTAATGACGTCACTTATTCCGCGTTGTTACGTTATATCGGTTAATACTTAAAAATTAATTTTTTCTCTACAATCTCCATTTTAAAAGCTAATCCAAATTGAATTAAAACAACAGTTAAAGAAATTTTTTACAATTCTTATAGATTTTGGCTTAACCGAGGAAGAAGTTGTATTGGCGCGCACCATCTCCGAGAATCCTGACGATCAGTCATTGCAATCAGCCGCAATGGTTCTGCGCTTGAAGGAAGGTATGACTACATTACCACGTATCCTCAAGACCATCGAGAACTTCAAGGGTCAAGTGGCTCATGTAGAGACGCGCCCATCGAAACGAGACAATCAATTCGATGTGTTGGTCAAGGTGAACATGAGTCGACACAATTTAGCATCACTGATCAGAAATCTACGTCAAGGATCATCCCTCGGTGGATTAACTCTTTTGCAAGACAAGACTAACGCTGTCACCGTGAAAGATCCATGGTTCCCACGTCACGCTTCTGATCTTGACAACTGCAATCATCTGATGACCAAATACGAGCCTGATCTGGATATGAGCCATCCTGGTTTCGCCGACAAAGAATACAGAGCTCGTAGGAAGCTTATTGCCGAGATCGCTTTTGCTTATAAATATGGAGATCCAATCCCAAGCATTCCATATACCGAGACCGAGAACGAGACCTGGAGGCGTGTATTCAACACTTTGGTCGACTTGGTACCCAAACACGCTTGTAAGGAATATCAGCGCGTTTTTAAGAAACTCACCGAGGAGAAGATCTTCCAACCACACTGCGTACCACAACTCCAGGAAGTCAGCGATTTTTTGAAGAGGAATACTGGTTTCACGCTTCGCCCTGCTGCTGGTCTACTTACCGCGCGTGACTTCCTATCAAGCCTTGCATTTAGAATATTCCAGAGCACTCAATATATTCGTCATATTAACAGCCCTTACCACACGCCCGAACCGTGAGTATATGATATATCTTCAATTTTCTTCATAAAATATTAAATTAATGAAGTGCAAGGGAGTGTCGTCGGGCATGAATTTTTTCAAGTGAATAAAGAATCTAGCAAGTCATGGCGTATGCACAAACGTGTAAAATTTATGCTTCATTAGCACAGTTCAATCAAAGATATGCACTTCTGACATGTCAAGTTGACACCTCGGAAACACAAGCTCACGTTCTCGTTCGCCCGCTGGGCAATCAATATGAGCCAACGCGGTATATAGCATACGCTTGCGTGCAATGGCAAAGTGTCCTTTCGCTCTCTTCGAGCGAACGATAATAATGGAATCAGTTCTGCCTCTCTAAGCTTTTAATGGAACTCTAATTGGCTTTTAACGACACGACGATGACGCTCTCGCTGTGTTAATTCACTTGTACGGCACTCGTTTCTCCTTGCAACTTCGAAATTTCGATATGCCTTATCGATATAAGCTACCAACAAACTTCTATTGAAACGCAATTACAATTTTGCCCCTCAGTGATGCAATCCACGAACTGCTTGGACACATGCCTTTGTTGGCCGACCCAAGTTTTGCTCAATTCTCCCAGGAAATCGGTTTGGCATCTCTTGGTGCTAGTGACGAGGAAATCGAGAAGCTTTCAACTATCTATTGGTTCACCGTTGAGTTTGGTCTCTGCAAGGAAGGAAATGAAACCAAAGCTTATGGTGCTGGTTTGCTCTCCGCTTATGGTGAGCTTCTTCATGCTCTTAGTGATAAATGTGAGCACCGGCCATTCGAACCATCCACCACTGCTGTTCAACCTTATCAGGTACTTCAATTGTTCTTCTTCAAAATTATAATTTATTATTAATATAATTTGTACGAATGTTGATTTGTATTTTTCTTTGAAGGACCAAGAATATCAACCAATCTACTACGTAGCTAACAGTTTCGAAGATGCCAAGGAGAAATTCCGTCGTTGGGTATCGACGATGTCACGACCATTCGAAGTAAGATTCAATCCCCACACGCAGAACGTTGAAGTACTTGACAGTGTTGAAAGGTTGGAAGGTGCAGTATCACAGTTGAACATAGAACTAACTCATCTGACAAATGCCATTAACAAAATGAAGACATCGTTCGCGTAACCGGCAACTACTGAAAACGAAGACGACGACGATGATGATGATGATAATGATGAAGAACACGAGGGGGTAGATGATGAAGATGAGTTGTCGACCGATCAAATGCGCCAGGACTATTCGCTCAAGGACCAACTCAAGAGACGCGCGCGTTCATCGTGGATCAGGTATCGGCGACAGTTCTGCCATGCCCTTTAAGCATATATATCATGATAATGTATATATAAAGATATTTACGCGTAGATTAGACATCTTCAAAAGGGAAAAAAGTATCATAAATGTTGGTGTTCTAAATTATAATCGGTAGATATGTTGCCGTCACATTTGGGCAGGCCGATATATAGGATTTTTCTTATATCTATATGCCAGCCTTTTGATTCTAAGTGTCGACATTTGTGTCTTTAATTTTTTTTTAATTTGTCCGCTTACATAGAATGGCAGAACGCACATATAGTACGCAGATTTCAAACTTTATTGTTGTTGCTAACTAAAAAAGTACACGTTATCTCCAGTTCGTAAGAATGGGGTAATTGTGTTGCTCTACCAACGAATGCTTTAGAAATAAGAAGTGAACTCTTGTTATTTGATCGTTCATTCATTCTCAACACATTAACTATCAAAGAAACGATATGTTCGCTAGGATTATACAAATTATATATTAGAAACATACTAAGCCACGACAAACACGACTTTTACCATTTTACACATGTATACATATACACATATGCACACACACACACACGCGCGCGCGCGCACGCACGCACGCACAGAGTTGCATACACGCATTTTATGGCAGAAAATTAATCGATATATTAAACGTATGTACGTTGCAGTCGGTGTATACGTGAATACAGTAATATTTCTTTTTCCTTTTAAAAAGGTTATTTTTCAATAGTTGTTCGATTGATGTCTACACTCTCGACATGTTTTTTTGGAAGATTCTCACTGAGACCAGAGTTAATTTGTATATTGTCTTCGGAAAATTACACATAGCGGCCTGAGAAAATCCTTTGAGACATGTCAGAGTTCAAACAATGTCGCGGTTATACGATTGCATGAAAAGAAAATATTTGATAAATACGAATAATCGATGATTTTTTTCATTATCGTGTAAAGATAAATACACGCACACACGCACATGTACACCTTCGTTATCGTTCATCAGGTTTTATTATTCCTTATCTCGCCCTTTGTATAAAGTCTCGCTCCTTCTCCATTTACTGCGTTCGATTTTTATTTTATTTTTACTTCTCACTGTTTTCTTTTTTGTCCCTTTCTCTTCTATCTTTCAGTGTATTTTCAATTTTTCTTTTTCAAACTTTTACGCGGAAGAAGCGCACGTGCGGTGTAGCATATGCGACCTGAAAGTATTATTAGTTTGCGGATAAGACAACACGCTCGGAGAGTCGGACATTTTTTTTTTCATTTTTCTATAATGACGATCTTTGTAAAATTATTCGGTTGATGTGAATTTCTTTTTTTTCTCTCTCCGACTTCTGATTTTTAAGCGCATGCTCCGAGCGAACCGCACGTGCACATAAACACTATTTGTTTATATTATTTTATTATATATTTTATTGTATTAATTGTGTATCTTATATCAATATGTTATTCCTATGTTTTATTGTTAGCGTATTTCTGTATATCAGCTAATTTAAAAGAACAATCAACTAAAACAGCAAGCATCTGCCTGAACTGCTAGGATTGTACAGATAATTATCTACACTCTATATGCACAGTTTATTCGAATACAGTGTATTTTGTTTATTCAAAGTTGTCATAGCTAATTAAAAACCATAGTTAAGAGATTAGAATCACCCTTGCTCAAGGTAACAAATTTCATTCTCAACTAATGGACAATAAATATTCTTTTTTAAGACTCTTAACTGTTCTGGTTAGCAATGATACTTCTTGTGATCTTGTTAGTTAAAACCGAAATGTAAAATTGATACGTTTTTCATCTATATAAAATTTGTTGTTTTTTATAATTATTATTATTCTTTTGTGTTTGTGTATGAGAAAGTCAGACGCGATTATATAATCCAAAATAACGAGTTGCGCGTGTTAATTATTCAATAAAACGTATCAAAGAAAGTACATGTATTAAAAAACAAATAAAATTTATGCATTCCATATATCAAATAACGAGTATATATTTCAATAAGATCTCTTTGCCGACCTTGTGTAAAAGATGTTTAGCGTGTATCGGTTAATTGTTGGTATTGTACTTAAAAATGTTTGAGAGGATTAAGATATAGAAAATCAGTAATTACTTTCACGACAAAATTTCTTAACTACTTTTTTTGACAATTATAATTACTCATAGTACACACTATAAGTATTACATTTATGCCTCTACGTAGCAAACATAACCAGCATTAACAGATAGCACTTAAATACCTATGTGACTCACTTCGTTTGTATTATATTGTAAAATATCAGCATAATAAATGAATTTAATGAGAACCCTTGCTTGTGTATTTTATCTCATCTAAAATTCTTCACCATTCCTAAACTGTAATTTGAAATGAATTAATTGATGTTATTCATAAACACGCTTATTAAACAAATGTATCTTCCATAACCTGAACTGACCCGTCATTTTCAAAAACATGCACTCTAGATATCAACAAATTCCTCAATTTCTGCTAAAATACAAATTTAGTAATCATTTTCACCCATGGACATCATAAAGTCAAAATCAGTGAATAGTGGTATGCTTTTAAAAACATCGTGTTGTCACGATCACTGCGACGGTGAGTTAAGTAATGCTTTCTATCAACCTCAATGTATCCTGTTCTAAAAAGGTTTTTTTTCTATAATATAAAAACGAAAGCTCATTAAGTTGATAAATAAATTTATTATTAAGAAAAGTACTGATTCATATAAAATAACAATTAAAATTTTTTTATTTTGCTTGAAAAATGTAGGTTGTCAATCGACAGATTGGTTGTTCAAATGGATCACCACTGCACGTCGAGCATTACTGGCTTTATTTATGTTATCAAGCATAATAATTTACTGTATTCCACACACGAGAAAGCGTAAATATATTAGGTTAATCATGTCGATTTACGAAATTGCAAAAAGTAACCAATGATTTTTTTAGCTGCTAAAAGGGGATGTCATTTATTAATTGATCTGGTAGCAGGAAGTCTCAAAATAATCGTTGGTAAAATTGAAGACTCTGAACAAATGAAATCTAATGAAGAGAGCTCTGAAAATACGAAATCGTTGATTAATAGCAATAGCATTGATAGTCCTCAAGAAATTAGAATTGCTCCAGATATCATGAACAAACTGGAATCGTCATCTTTGTATTCTAAAAGAGATACTATTCAAAAAAATGAAATGTTGCAGAATCCCAAACAATATAATGTCAGTTTTATTGTGCCAGAATATAGGAGAAAGAGGTTTGTTATGTATCAAATCAATGTAATAGAACATTGATGGGAACTGTATATGATATAGGCAGGAGAAAAAATGTTTACAAAATGAAAGTGATTGGCTCAAGCATGGAAATGTATTATGTGAAATACACAGACCACGTGAAATGAAACTTAAGGAGAAATCTGTTAAAAGAGTTTCATTGCCACTGATGCAATTTGACACTTTTGAGCATCAGAAACTTAGTAGTGATTCTACGTCGTTAAGTTATAATTTTCGAGGATTTCAGAGAAAGTATGGTATTTTTTTCTTCAATTGTAAAGATATAAATACTTACAGAATTGTTTTTTCGTCTTTTTAAAATTATTTTTAATTCGATTTCCAGCAATGATAATAATATTATAGGATCTATAATTCAGGAATACATATTTTTCTATAGAAATTTTTTTATGATAAAATAATTATAATATATATTCCATTTCATAGAGACCTCAGAAGTAATAAGTATCAAAAACATTCAAAATCATACCCATTTCATTTTTCTAACGATGACTCGTACAACTATTTTGAATTATCCGATTTTGAGACGGACAATGTAAGTAAAGAGTGAATCTTCGTTTATAACATGTCTTTCATCAATTAAATTTTATTATATTGTTTATATCCTAAATTTTAACATGTTTGTATTTTGAAGACATCGTTGAACGGTATGTTAACGGATGATTCATTTGGTGACGCTTTGCAAGCAAGTAAAAAAGCGGTAAACAAAAACGTTCAAAAATCTAAAAGATTTGATGTTGATGACAGTAAGTATTTCAAAGTTGTTAAACTTCTATCATATAATATTTTTTCCTTTTTCTTTTTTAAAATATGTAGATCCAAATCGTCTCACGAAAGCAATGTCTTGGTTAAGCGATCAAATTCATCAATTCGAGTGCTCTTTGAAAAGTCTTTCTGCTAGTATAAATGTGAATATTGCGCAATTAAGAGATATTAATTTAACGGAATCACAGTATGGTAGGATTTCAACAAAAGACGTAAATGTGTTTTATTATCTTTAGAATATATTTCATATTTTTATTTTGTCTTTATTTTTCATTTATTATAATAATTACATTACAGTCAGTAAAACCGAGTATAATTGGACCACCTTTTACTAATTATTCTCATGAAATTGTAGTTAACAAAACTTTCGAAGCAAGCCAGAATATATCGACACGCGAAAAAGCAATAGATAAATCTGGTGGGACATAAATTTGCTAATGTCAACTAAAAATATGAAAATTATTTATGATAATAAATATACTATGATAATTGTTATAGTGATGACCGAACCATCGACATTATCGCGAATATTCGACTGGATTTTTGGAGAGGCAAAGCATGGTACACAGATGAAAGAGAAAAAAATTTTGAATATTGTAAAACAGAAGTTGTTGTAATTGTTATTTGAAATATATGCTTTTCTAGAAAATCAAAATTCAAAGAACCGAATATGTTTAAATACAACGAGCACGAAAGTGCTGACATCATGCTTACCGAAGAAGCTCTAAATGAAACTATACAGCGCTGAAAGCACAACAGGTAAGGTAGAGATTTATTTTATCAGATATAGTTTACTATCTATCGTTTTTATTGGTAAATGTACGTATCAAGAGTGGTTTTTTTGAATAGTTACCACTGAGGAGTGATATTTTCAAAGCGAGGCGAAAAAACTACTCTACATACATATACGAAGAAAAAAAATCTTACGTTAACAGAAAGATTACATTTATTTGATATTGAGATCTCACAATGAAATATTACTAAAATAAAAAAAAAAAGAGTAATTTATAATTGTACTGGTAAACGTAATAATTTGTGCTTTCGGGAACAAAATAATATGTATAATAAGTAAATACACAATTAGAAATTGAAAGCAGTTTTTTAAATCAAACGTTTACATGAAAATTAAGGTTTTATTTTTATCATATAATTGATGGATATATTTTGGCACAAAAAACATCTAATTTTCTATTAGATTAGTAAGTTCTGAAAATAGCAAAAATTATTGGAATGGATTTTCATCATTAATGTACGTTACTTCTAATATTTTATCATCGTACGCATACACATAATTCGTGTCAACAGCAAAATAATAGAAAAAAACATAATGGAAATATCAGCAAACTAATATAAAGAAATTGAAATAACAAAAGTATAAAATACATTTGTCACGATGAATATTAAACAGAAATGTTCTAAATACATAAAACGAAACTACAAAACCTTCATCAAAATTATGATACATGGAAGAAGGTATTTTCTTTGTATACAACACACGAGTGATATACGTGTTTTACTCGGCTGGCGAGGAGTTTAAAAAAAGAGATAAAAAGGGAGTAAGAGAAAAGCCCGCGCTTTAGTTAACCGCACGCGCCGCATGCAAGAGAGAAGAAGCAGACCAAGAAGACGCAGACAGTCGGGTTCGGGCCAAGAAACGCGGTGGACCATGCGGTTTAACTCCAGTTCTCCTCTTGGCTACACGTGACACGAAAGCCTCGCTGTGGCTTCCATGAACTTCTATCGAAGAAGCACTTTCAATTACTTTACTATAGCTTCAACGAGCTGATATTCAAGCTTTCATTTACAAATGTGAAGTTTTCAGTGTGGCGAAGCTCTTTTTATCAGTTTTTATGTTTGTTTTGTTGTTGTTTGAAAAAGTGCCGTAGTATGAAGATAAAGTTGCATCCGTAAAATTTTAACATTTACTGAACTTGCACATTTTTTTTCACTAAAGTGAAGTAAGTTTTTTTAATTTTAACGTTCTTTCAAAACCTCTGATTTATTTACCGTCAAGAAATTTCTTAACAATATATAGTAGCATGTACATTTCGAAGTATAAAATATAACAAAAATGAATATGCAATTGTTGTAAATTCTTCCTAAGTGTAGAAATTATCATTATTGACTTTACTTTACGATTATTTTGAAATGTATAAAGATATGTCAAAATTGTTTTCTTTTCCAAAAACACAATTGAAATATAAAAAAAGATGTCTATTATTATGATTGCTTTATTAGATTAAATGGATGAACAAATCTATACAAATTTGACTTTCTAATAATAAAAAAATTGACACGCATTATATTTAAAAATCAATAATCTGACAAAGAAAACCACAAAATTCAACGATCTAATAACAAGCTGTCAATTTGTATCTCGCAACTAATGGGAGAAAGGGAGGGGAAATTCTTGCGGCTTTCGCCTCCAGACAAAAAAGCTCGGAAAGCGCCACACGGTGAAACTAAGTAAGGAGGTCAATGCCTTCCCGCGAAGGAAAATCACTAGGCACTTTGACCCGGAAATAAAAAAAGAACAAAAAGGGAATCAAGTGAAAGAAGGCATTTATAGGCTTACTCTGCCGGTGCGTGCGGCTAGAAAGAGAGAATAACAATTTTGAAATGGAGGTTTGTTCTTTTTAGATTGGTGGCTCGATGCCCCGATCATGACGTCCAATGCGATCAGGGGCATACGCAGAAAAAAGAGCTCACTTAGCGACGTTAAGGTAGCTGTGATTGGCGCGCCAGGAGTTGGCAAAAGTGGTGAGTCTGCTTATTTCCTTATTTTCTCGGCTATATTTGGACTTCAATCGTGGCTGAATTGTGAAAAGCGACGACCAGTAGCGTTGAAGCCAATCCACAGATACTCAATGATCTAGCTTTATTTAACTTTTAAAATCAATGGTCATCAAATTAGTTTTTTAAATAATAAAATAAAATAGTTAGCGACGAATGAGTTAAAATTGATTTTGTTGATTCAACGTTAGTAGAGTGCAAAAGTATATGATATTTTCATGGTCTGAAATTAACTTCTTTCCATTCATATTTTTATGGCTACCTGTAAAATCCAAATTGCAGTACATTAAACGAGTTAATTAATGTGCGCAAAACTTAATAGCTTCTAAAATAATTCACTTTGTGTATGTAGAAGCAAAATTACAAATCTGAAATTGCACACTCGTGCTCATTTTGAACTGCTGCCAAGATTATAGGAAAAAACTTTTTGGAATGACATCAAAAACTTGAAATCATCTTTGAATCTTATTGGAGAAACTTTTGGGGATTCGAATTGTTACATGTCAATAAATTAAATATTTTGTATCACGATACATTTAAAAGATTTTCAATGTTGATTCCTATGAAATGTGAATTTGGTCAAGACGATGACAAAAGAGAATCATTTCATGTTGTTATACTTGATGAGTCTATTAGTCGAGGATCTTGCTCACTACTAACAATTCTAGTCCACCAATTCAAATTCTCTTCAATTAAAAAAAAAAATATGTGATAAATAAATCAAAAGACCTAGCACAAAAACACTGTAAGCATGGAAAAATTCAATTGTAGATTCAAACTGATAATGCTCGAAAACACATCGCAAACTTAAAGCAAAGCTTAAGCCAATCGAACGGATTGTATACGAGAAATATTCCGGACGAAACGCAGCAACTTCAACTATATTTTATTCGTCGCAATATAGAATCTCGGGCATGTTTACAAAAGCATTTTGCATACTCGGGCGCGGAAAATGACGCGTGGAACTTTAAAAGATTCGAGGGAGGCACGCACGTGTTGCCCCTGAGGAGAAAAGAGAGCCAAGCCGGAATTTTCGGGTAATGGCACACGTGCTTTTGCGAGAAGTCGCCGTGCCGCACGTGGGATACATAATTCCGTCACTCTCTTTCGGCTTGCGAACTGTCTGAATCACCATCCTACTCGATTATATTATCCTATCGATCGACTTCGATTATACAAGCACCTGTTATTAATTCGACTATGCCTTTGGAGTTTGTAAGTTAACTCTATTTTGATATGATTTCATTTTGTTTTAACGGTTAATATACGACGAATAAAATTCCGATCTGAAACGATAATGAGATTTCCAAAGGCAAAGCGATGATATTTTCTATTACGACAAGAGATCTATGGTTGGCTGCTGAAAGTCATTGTTCCAAGCTCCCTTTTGTCTTTGGTCAGCTGTACGCTTTTCCATTTGTTGCCTCTTGTCTGCTTTTCATACCGTACGCACTCTGTATGCTCGCACTCGTTGCTTTGCTATTCTGCGCTTTATGTGACAAAAGTTGCCATCACATTCTGTCAACCGGTAAGCGTTTAAAACTTCGTAAGTTGTACTTTGAAATAAGAATGGAGTGATACCAACTTGGTTGATGTATTTTAACAGTTTTCATTTGGCGCGGAATTTTTCAAAAAATACTTCAGATCAGATAACACGTATTTTTTGAAAAATTCCGTTGATCATTTCCAACTGTCTAATTTTATACTAAAATCTGAAACTCTCATTGGATGATCGATTATTCTTCTCGACTTCCTTAACTGCATCGCGGTGTAAATACATAAACGGGAATAAACATCGTAAAATTTCCCACGGAAACAATGCAGCTGGTATTGTAGGAACGAAGCTTGGCATTCCTCTTCCGCCATTGGCAGACCGCCCGCGAGCCTTTTCAAAATTGCTCCTTCCTAAATAGAGACATTAAATTAGCGTGTTTACACGAACGCCGCAATGATAGTCTGTTGCGTTCATCGCTCCTTCAGAACTCGCAGTCCGCGAGCTTAGATTATTGCAGTGCGTTTGCAGGCAAATTGTTCGTACCGTTTGTACTATGAAGGCATGTATATGTATCATGGACTATGGACTATGTATATGTATCTATATGATAGTGGCGTGCTGTTGATTATTTGAACATGTATTTCTATGTACCAAGAATGTACGTAAAATGGTTATATTAATTCCTGTACTATAGATACCATCAATCCGTCGCTAATATTGCCTTATTTTACAAACTTGATGTAGGATATGATTATAAAAAGATTTTGATAATGTATAATAAAAATCACTGACGTTATAAAATTAATCAAAAACAAGTTAATCAAATGCCCTAACTTATAAATTAGGTCCTTCCAAAAATCAGGTAGTTGTCTATCCTGATAAAACGCATGATAAATACTAGGAATTTAGTCTCGAGCCATAAAAGAGAAGTAGATAATGTATTTTTGGGCAAAAGCTAAACCATATACCGATAAGACTATTTTCAGCTTCTTCGTCACTGGATCTTGTTTCGATTTTAAGTGCTTCGTCCTAATTTTTCATTGAAGTTATTTCGTCATCACTACTACTTTGTAAGATCGGCGTCTCGTCTACATCATCAAAATATATTGACAGCCGTCTCGTTGCTCTATTTGGGTCGATTCATTTTACTTTTGACAACTTTTGATGACTGCAATGCTTTCTTTTTCAAGATTTATTCAGTTATTTTGACAAATTATTTCGTCGTTATAGCAATTTAAATGTGAATGGAAACGTGTAATTACTATAATTTTCACGTATAAATCTTGGCTTAAAAACATCATTGTTGAAATAACAAGTATCGGAAGATTTTCAAAATTCATATCCTGTTATTCTAATAGAGTTATGTGCTCGGCTGGTTAGTGTCAATCACGCTTTTGATGCTTAAAATAGGCGTTAAAGATTGCTTCTTTATTTCCGATGTATACGATTTCGAAAACAGCTTTTATTTTTTTTGCATTTTGCCACCGAACTCCAAAAACGTTTCATCTCGTGGCTGTTCTTGACTAAATATTTAGTCTGTTAGCATACTTTGAACATCAAACTGTAAACCCGTCATAACTTCGCTGAAAACCTTTGGTTTTCATATGAAAAATCAGAAAGTCTTTTTGGCGGACAGATATTGCATACTTATTTTTAGTCAAAATCGTGTAAGTATAATCACAACTTTGCTCGCTTAAATTTGATAACATCAACAAACTTTGGCTCTCGTAAAATCATCTTATTTACACGGTATCATCGTGCTTTATTGATTTGTCCGCTACAATACGCTTCTTTTCACATGAATCAGCCATTTATTACAACCAAACTTAAATAATCGCAATTTCTTTTATCGACAAAAAAGAAAACCAAAATCTCATAAATCATAAAATCACAAGAATAATCCATACGTATAATATCAAAAAAAAAAATAAAAAAATAAAAAGCAGTAATCTATAGATGGAATATCCGAAGCCAAGCATTACTCCGGTAGCCGCAAAATAGAGGAAGTCGCAAGCTCGCTCCAAAAATCAGAGTCTCCCAAGCGCGTTATATCACTGCCCATACTTGCAATGTTTATGTGCTTCGCCCGCACATACACGTCAGTAAAAGAGCGAGAGAGAAAGAGAGAGAGAGAGAGAGAGAGAGATAGGCAGCTTCCACATGAGGTAAAAATAGTGTGGTACACCGCAAACCGGGTCACTGGGCTGCGGGACTCGTTTCGCATTAGCAGTGCTCAAACCCGCCCGCTGCGCCTCACTCTTTTTTTTTCTTCTTCCTCCTCAGCATATTGCATAATCGCGATATTCCGCGATAATTTCGATGTTTTTGTTCTTCCGTTCGTTCGAATATATTTTTGGCGTCGGCCCAATATCGCGATGCTTGTAATTTCTTTTAAATAAACTTTGAATTTGCAAACGAAAAACTGTAGATTTTACTTCGAAAATATAAATTGAACTTCAATGATACGACAACTGCACATCAATTTAAACACAGTAGAATGTCTAGACAGGGTCTTTCCGTTTACTTTTAAACATAAATTAGCTTCGCTGGTTCTATTTGAATTTCATCAGGGGCCAGACTTGAATTGAATAGGCAAAGCGAGATTCAAGTTTACCGTTAGGCAAACTTAAATTAGCAATTCATTGTCAAGTATATTTTTTCTTCTGTTTTCAGCCTTAACAGTGAGATTTTTAACCAGAAGATATATCGGCGAATATGATCACCAATCAGGTAGGAATGATTGATCGAATTCCTTCCAGACAATAAATTTCAAAAGTTAAGACCTATTTGGGTCGTCTTGCCTTGACTCGATACCATAAGAACTTGATACGACAAAATTTACATCTTCAATAAATGTAAAAACGAAATTGGTAGATACAGTGACTCTTTCGGAACTGAGAGAAAGTCTAAACAAACGATTAACCGGGTAAAAGAGATATTTGTCAAGGTTCTTCCATTGCCTTAACACAGCGCGCGCCGATGATCAAGGTGGCACGCTTTGAAAAATTGCCAGAACGCGCCGGACCCATCTCTTCTCTCGTGCGCCTGCTGTTGCCGGGCTAAATTTATCAGACGACAGCCGATTTGACATTAAGACGCATCTCTCGCTCTCGCGTAGAGAAAATTTCCAACTATCGCTTTCACTGATCAGCCGATGATTCGCCTTCACATTACGTCTATTTATTATTTTTCACGATCTAGACTGATGTTATAAAACAAAATTTCCGGTTTTATTTTTGCGTTCAAGTTTCATAACATACTTTACTATTTTGTTTTCAGAAACCAAGTACAAACATGAAGTTCTTGTCGATGGAGAGCCTATACTTTTTGAAATTTTAGACACTTGTCCTAAGGTAATTTTAATTGAATAAGAAAGCGCCCGAGCATTTTTAGAGAGACAAATTTTTATGAAATTGAAATTCTTCATTTTATCTCTTCGCAAGCGCTGTAATTGTAAATCCATACAGCCATTCAAAACCAACAAATCCTTTCTCGATATTTGTTACAGAGAGAGGATGAGCTTCCATCTTCGGAAACGTTACAGTGGGCTGATGGATTGTTGCTTGTATATTCAATAACTGACCGTAGCTCTTTCAACTTCGTACGGAAAGCTAAAGAAGCACTAGCAGTTGCCGATCCAGAAGCTGCTATGCCTCTTGCGCTTGTTGGCAATAAAGCTGACATGATTCACCTAAGACAAGTTAGCACAGAGGAAGGAGAAATTTTAGCTAAAGACTTTGAGTGCTGGTTCAGTGAAGTCAGTGCTGCTGAACAGGTAAAAATTCTTACAGTATTATAATAAACAAAATATACAAGTATATACTTTGAAAGAGCAAGTTTGCTTCAATGTTTGGAGAAATTTCCTAAACCTCTATAAACCTTTTTGAGGTAACTCAAGTTGCGGAATCCTTCCATGAATTATGCAGAGAAGTTCTTTCAGCTAGAAGGAGAAATAAACAATCATTACTCGACAGAATGCTTGGTGGCAAATCTACCAAAGTTTATTCCAGGGGAAAAAGCGATTCCGCATTGCCAAAAGATTGATGCCTTTTTTTTTAATGAAACAAGTATTCTAGCAATATCAATGGAATTAGATAAATGTTAAGGATCCTCACATGAAATGTCTATTTTTTGTACTTCCAGAAAAATGATTGAGCTAATAAAAGCTTTTCAGGTTTATTGAAATTTAAAAAAATTTCATTTTGTTCCTTGCGATTGTGTTTCTCCTTTGTAAAGTATGTTTACACAAAATTAGATTGTATTTTTACCAAACGCACTGAACTAAATACATACTTTTTTTAATATTCATTATATGATTGTTGCTTTAACATTCTAAAATATCAAGATTATATAATATACATTCCTTTATAGAAAGTAATATTACTTGTCTATATAAGATTTTATTTCAATGATAAAAATATATTTTGCTTTGTATAAAAACAAAAATAGGTTTTATTTGAAATCTATTTGTACGATATTTACACGATACTTTATAAATTAACATTCATCTGAAAAATCTTCAATTAAATGTTTCAAACTATAATGTGTAATTGAATCATCAAAAAATTTACAATATCGTAGGTTGTCGCAAAACATTTACAAAAAAATGATTACATGTAGTTATTAGTGTACAACCCTTCAGAAAAAGAAGTATAATCAATGCATAGTCAATACTTCTGAGCATATCTGATAATATTAATCTTGTCATTCATGATTCTGTACTTTATATGCATATTTTTTACAACTCAATTGATACACTATGCACTCATGATTGTCTTGATAGAAATCCGAAAGTATAATTGTTCTCACTTTTTATTCTATTGAATTATAAAACACTTATATTTTGTATATAATAAAAAAATTCACTTATTATCATCATAGTTCTCTAACACATCAGCCAAATGTTCATTGTCCCTTGGCTTCTTAAACTGTTTCTTTTTATGATTAGGCTTCTTCCTCTTGATTGGTGCTAGCTTTTTAACACCATGATCCTGCATTGATCTGATTCCTTGTTTTTCTAAGTATTCATCAATTTTAGCATCATCCATCGCATCTACAGCAACTGCTCTCCAAAACTTCTGAAATTCTTCATCTATCGGAATTTGAGCAGTTTTATCGTTATAGAAAACAATTTTTTTTTTGTCTTGTGCCCTTGTTATGTAGAGTATTTCATTTTGAAGATTCTAAAAATATAATTTCAATTATTAACTCTTATAAAATATTTAAAACTTATGGAGTGATATTAAAAATGTTCTATAATATAGATAAAAATTGTTCTATAATATAGACTTTTCATTCCAAACACGATATGCATTCACAAAATAATAAGTATTAATAAGCGAACCTTCAAATGCCTTTCAGAATGAGGAAGACTTTCTTGAATATCTTCCAACATAATTCCTCCCAAACCTTTCAAATCATGTTGTTTTAATAACCTAAGAAGTGATTTTTTGTCTTTTATTTTATACTGTGCTTTAAAAATATATTTTCCTTCCACGGTTACTTCTATTTTTGGATTTTGAGGTAAAGCTTCAACTAACAGCCATTGTTTATTCTGAAACAAATATTTATATTTGGAATTCCTTAAGTGATTATTATCTATGTATATATGATTTTACTTACTCTTGAACCAATGTCAAGTTGATTCGTTTCGTCAAGGATTTCATCAAGTGTTAGTGGATGGTCGTCTCCATCTTGATGTCTTGCTTTCATGTGTTGTACAATTTTTGTTAAAATACCAAATCTGACATTTGAGCTACCAGATATAGTTTTGTAATTGGGGATTTCCATCTTTGGCCCTGATGATACTGGTGGCGGTTTCGGTTTCTTTTTTGGTGGTTCATCTCGTACAACTTCCTTCTCAGGATCTCTTTTCTTTTTTTCGATACTACATACAAAAACAATAATGAGAAATGTAAACACTTTTAAAACATCTCATTTCACACAATCAACACTTTTTTAAATTTATTATTAATTAAAATTGAAGTATGAAGGAGTTTGGCTTTTACATTTTTAATAAAATATACATACAAAAAAACTATTCCTATTATTTCAATTAATATCATAAATGGTATTATGGTATTTGGAATTCATATAGGAACTAAATGTACAAATATAAATATATTATTTGTATAATTCAGCTAAATAAAATTTTAATTATTATTCTAAATATAATTATAAAATTAAGATAAAAAAGGGTAAATTTCTTATGACGTTTAATTTTTAATAGACATTGAATATTACTATTCTTAAACAATAAAATTACTTGAAGGTAGGTCTTTAGGTTAAATATTGTATTAGTGGCTTTTGAGGAAAACTCACGTTGGAGTTGCAGCTGCTCTTTTCTTGAAAGCTTCATGTTCTCTGAGCAAAGATGGATCCATGATTACTGTTATTTATTAAATAAAATTTGTGACTATAGTGGCTATCAACAACTGAACAATATCAAATCCGCACTACGCCAGACAGTAATTGTCCAACTGAATACTGAGCAATGAGCAACAGTTCTCGTTCTGGTTTTTGGCATTATGATCTGCTGATTGCCACCGGCCGCTGACTGCGACGTTGTGACGCTGTTCCGACTTGCGCTGTGCGCAGAACCCTCCACCGTGCGCAGGACTCTGCGCACCTTAGCGCCATCTGTAAAAATAGGAAAATTAAAAAACAAATTGTGTAGATTTTACATTGATGATTACATTTTAAAACATTAAAACATTATTTTATTAATATAAAACTGAAATAAAATATAAATGATTAATTAATTAAATATAATTTACAATTCTTTTCTATTCTGTCACAAAAGAGGTATAAACTGATTATGATACTAGATATGCAATAAAAGGTAATTGTCATCAGCTGATTCTCTACCTTTATCGAAAAATTAGTCCTTTCATGAAAATCAAAAGTTTGTGTTTGAAATAACTTGAGTTTGAAGTATGTGCATTTATAATTGAATGTTATTTCAAAAAATATAGTAGTGATATATAGTTCCTTTTGTCTCGAGAGGCATTAAACTATTTAAATTAATATTAGAATTATTCAAATATTTAGTCTCAAATCATTACGTATTTAAGTGTTCATTCAACAGATTATGAATGTAATATTTTATTCCGTCAGTGCGATGAAAGTTTCATTAACTGTAAGTGACTGAAAGTTTCATAAACTATGAGAAAAAGATCAAACCATTGACAGCAACTTTTTTTGCTTTTACTTGCCAAAAGAATCGCAGTTAAAATGTCTAAGCGTTTTGTTTTCGCTCTCTCTCTTTCTCTCTCTCTCTCTCTCTCTCTCTCTCTCTCTCTCTCTTTTTCTCCCGCAAAAGAAAAGCAGCGAAGATAGAGGAAATTACCAGAGGTTTTTTCGCGTTTTCGTGGGGATCTCTGATGTTTACAGGCGTCGCAGTTTCTCCGGTTTCTTTCTCGACTTCCTTCCAATGTCGTGCTCCCCCTCTCTCCCCCTATCTCACACAACACAAAGCGATATAAAAGTGGCAAAGCATGAGTTTAAAAGGCCAGAAAATCGTCAACTCTTTCCTCCCTTCGTGCACTCTTCATTTGCATACAGCCTTTCTCGTGCACTTTTTCTTCCTGCAACTTTGACGCGACTTCCTCTGAATTTACATGACTGTTTTGCTTGCATCCTATTTTCTGATACTGCCATTAACTATTTGAATAGGATGGTGTGTGTGTGTGTGTGTGTGTGTATACACACACTCAATATATACATTTAAAATATATAAATTTCAAAGCTTATATATATATATATATATATATATATATATATATAAGCTTTTAAATGTATATATTGAGTAAAAAGCTTCTATATTCGATATTAAAGTGATATTAAAGTTTGAAAAACAAAAAACCGACTGAGATGGTAAGTCTAAGAAAGTTTTCCTTATGAAAAACATTTATCGTATCATTTTTCTCTTCTTGCTAAACGTATACGTACCACGTTTTATCCAACTCATAAGCTCCATCATTAAATTTATTAATTCAATTTGACATTTTACGTATGTTATTCCATATCCAAGTTTAGTCAACTGTTAACTGACTAATTCAAGTGCCACATATCACACAACATCAAAAGCGCAAGCGTTCTCCAAGAAAAAAAATGTTTACATATTGATCTCACTCGTAATTGGAATGAAACCCCATCATCAACCAACTCGTCGGCTGTCGAGCCGTTTGCCACCTCCTCATTACCGTCGCTCCTTTCCCGACGACGTTTCATCTTTCTCCTCCCCTCCCCCCTCTCTCTCTCTCTCTCTCTGTCGTTGCTGCGAGCGCGTTTAAACTTTCAATCGGGATTTGCATAATTTATATTATGCAAAGTCGACCGAAAGTTGAGGTGTAAGCAGCAGCAGCAGCGTCGGCGCGGATATGACAGTGCTTGTACGACCTAAGAGTCACGCCGCTCCGACGACGACGACACTGGGATATAGGGCGACTCGGATTAACAAGTTTTCTTAAGTACTCTACTCCTTGCTGCACAGTATATGTATATATATGTGTATGTATATATAAAGTAGTCAAGTCTTTGCCCGCAAGCACTGTTGCCTGCAAACGGCTAAGAGTTCTGGGAATTATTATTATAAGCCAAGGACGTTTTATTATTCGTTCTGTTTTGTTCTTTTGATCGCTCATTGGAATTAGTTTTTTTACGTCACCATTTTAAGATTCGTCTGTTGATTGAGTACGTACTTGAATATGTAATACGATTATGTATTAATTTGTTCAATATTTTAGAATTAGTATACGATAGTTTCAAATGAATAGAACAAAATATATCATAATTATGCCTTCAACAGCAACGAAGGTTTGATGACCAGACTAAAATGATAGTTTTCATTCTGGTCATTTCTAATTGCTCTACAACTATTCAGAAATAATCAAATATAAGTATAAGAAATGATTTTGATGCTTGACAAGTCGCAGTCACTATTATCAAACATCACTTTGAAAAGTAGTCATTAAATGTAAAAATGTGTGAGCAATGGATCAATACATCTTGAATTCGTTGAATAGAAATTCCTGCAAAGATTAATTATTTATAATGAAAGCCCATTTTATGATTAAAGTCATAAACACAAGTTTATACGGAACAATCGCATATGCTCGTAAATAAATCTACGTGGACTCTGTGAATACTCATATGTAAGTATGTACTAATGTATTGATTGCTTTTGATAAAAATTATTGATTTCATGAACAACGACAAAAATCGACTGTTAATTAACTATTCAATAAGTAAACTTTATTATAATTTGGTTTGAACAATGATTGATTCGAATGAACTTAATTATTATAAATTGATCAAAACAGTTACGATGAAAGTTTTATAAAAAAATGAATTTCTCGCACTAGCAATTAGATTTGTTAATAAAGTAATAACGTAAAAGAACAAGTAAAAAATATTCACAATGTGTACGTAATTATGTTATATAGAATATAATCGATCAAGCAAGCGAAAATATTGTCTTCCTATTATTTTAATGTCACTCAGCTGTCGTTTCGACTCGCGGCAGGGGTTTTCTTCCATCGTCGCGCTTTCTCTCTCATTTATCTTCCGACGTGTCTCGGCGTAACTTTGTGCGTTCGCTCGCGTCCCCGGCGACTTTGATTCGTTGTCGACGTTTTGGCGGATGTTAACTCGCGGAAAATTACGAAAGTACGAATAGACGGGGGAGAGGTAAAAGCCACAGTCATACGAAGTTATACGGGAAATTACGCGGTGCATAGGGGGCGGGAAGCAAGCCTTCTTATACTTTGCCGTCGTTTTTCTCTTTAGTTTTTTTTTTCCAGACTGAACATTTCTTTTTTTCTTTCCTCGGCTAGGTAGCAAAAATTTTCTATCTTTAATTCGCGGTGGGTAATTTGAAAGTTAACTTGCGGTTCTTGAGCTTGCGCGAGCATCGATTAAGTTAGCTGCGCACACCGCTACTCGGCATTAATTTTCTCCAAGTGAAAACTTCTCTTGTGACTCGCGCGCGCTGCTCTGTGCCTTTTGAATTTCTCAAGTTTTCTGTTAATTATGAGGCTCTCCTTTTTTTTCAACTATCTTTCTTTTATATCGATCCAGTACGGTTGCGCCGTTTATTTTGTATTTCAAAATGGCTAAATTTCGATAAAACGTTATAAATACAATTTTCCCATTGTATCGTCTATTTCACTTACCTGTTTTGCGAATAAAAATAAAATTGAATTCGTGCAATGGAAAATAAACAGAGGGAAAAAATAATTCTATTTACTGAAATGGCTGAAGATAACTGTACCGTAAAAGAACGTGACTACGTAGATGAGATCAAATGAATGCACTACATGGCAAGTAATTCTTGAGATAAAAATATATTCCAAGTTTCCTTTTTAATTAGTATTCTGATAGCAAAGCAAACAACGGCACATAATAATTTTTGTTCGCGTTATAATATCAATATTTTGAAAAGACATAGACAGACTGTTCACTTGGAAAAATAAACATTTTGAGCTTCCACTAAATTCGGAATTGCAGAATTATCGTATAAAACACGCAGCTTAAGTCAACGTAAAGAAACCGAAGTGTAGGGAACTTGACACAACGACAGTTCGCATCCTCAAAGGTGCACTTGAAAAAGCAACAGCGTCCAGTGTCAGATACTCATCACTACAGCGCGTGCACATTTGAGGCAAAAAGCAAAAGAAGGAAAAAAAAGGAAGAAGAGCTTTTTTACCTCTACTCTCGTCTCTGTTGCAGTAGCAGCAGCAGCAGCAGTAGCAGCACCAGCAGCGAGGGAGTGTAACGCTTGCGCGCGTTAGGGCGTACAAAGGTCGAGAGAGAAGAGCCGAAGGAGGGGATGAGAGATGTGGCGGGTACTGCCTAGCGTCCGGGGTTCGTTGGATGCTGGCGCGCCAGTTTGTGCCAGAGCCCCGGCGCGCGCGCTATGTCGGGCTTTCGTTATCGTTGCACTGCTGCTTCTGCTGCGATCGAAATTTTGCCGTGATCATTCGAATACATACGGATATACATTTTTTATTTTCTCACCGGTGATGAAACTTTCAAATTTTTTTCGTTGACAGTGCCAGAAGAAGTTTTTTGTTGTTAACATCGACAATATCAATATTTTTTATTCTGTGCTGCAATATAAATTATAATGCTGCTCAGGTTGTTGCTGATTTTGGTGGTCGGTGTGGCTGTTGCCGCCAAGCCTGCTGCTGCTGACAAAATCGAGAAGATTCCTATAGGTAAGGTATTGTTTTTTCTTTTTGATTGCATGTTTTCTTTTTCTTTGGGAGAGATGTTATAAGTTAAAGGAAGTCCTCTAATTTCTCGGAATTGATTGTTTGGATCAGCTAAGTTGTACTGAAGAAACTCAATTTATTATTCTCTATATAAATAAAATTATTAATATTTTGAATTATAAAATTAAAATCTATCACATTGAAATCTTACCATCAGAGACAGTTACTTATTGATACATACATATTAATTATTTAACTGATGGGTGCGATTAAGTGTTAAGTATTATTAAAAATCTCAGATCCGTATGACGGAGTGAACATTTAAGTCTTTACAAGATGTTTGTAAAGTAATGATCAGAGACATCATTAATTATGCTGCTTTTATATTTATAATGTTTTCAATGAAAAGATAAAATTATGTTT